TTTAAAAATCATTTGGCATGTAGTGGGATGTGGTTGGACATATATTGTCTATGGCAATTCCTTTGCTCTGAAGAGAGGTGGAGCTGTAAGATGCCAGAACGCCTCAGTTTGTATGAGCAGTCCTGCTGAATCTACTGGAGATGTCTATGATTAAAATCAAGAACAGCGATAAGTGCTATGTAGAGATTCAAGTATAGTTACTGGGATTGTATGCCTGGAGTCCCATGTGTCCCAGTGCCCTCTCCACAGACAGCTTTTTAATTCTTTCACGTAAGTTCAGTTACTTTGTAGCCCTGATGAACATATACTCAATTTGTTTTGGATAATACAAATTTTGAGGGTTTCATCTGAGCCAGTCTGCTGTCACACTGCTGTGTGATAAAGTTAAGTTTTATTCCTGAAGTTATGCTCAGTGTGCAGTAACAATTATATATATTTCTATGAGCTCTTTGTCCTAATCTTGCCCAGTAGATGGTAGTGTTGGCCATGTTTTGTAATTTATTTTGAAGTTGTTCATTAGTTGCATTTTTTTAATTTGTCTTCTGCACTTGACCCGCTCTTCCTTTTTCATCCCTTTTATTTCTGCCTGCTCTCCTAAATATCATTTTTACCCTGTAGAAAGCAATAGTAGGCTTTATTCTGATTTGATCTCTATGAGGTCTTGTGCACTCCTGAAAGGGCAGAAATAACAGTTGGTTGAAATAGTCTGATATTTGTTGCTCTGGGTTAGATACATACAGCAGCAAGGAACTAATTTAAAAACTGAATTGTGTATGGTTTTTTCCCCGTAGGTTTGCTTTTCTAAGAACTGATTTGTCACGTGATAGACTGTCCTCATTTTTTGCAAATTTATTTGTATTTCACATTGATTGATGGATATACTTAGCATTTTTACCAGATGAGGAACAAGATAACTAAAAGCCCTTTTAACATATAATTCCCCCTAAATAAAACTAAATAAAACTACAGAGTGCCTCCCAACCTTCGTGACAAAACAGAGAACCCTTATTAGAAATAAGAAAGTGCTGAAGCCACGGAGGAGGGCTAGAGGCAGTCTGCCTGTGATGTTATACATAGTTAGATTCTGGTCCATTTTCACTGAAAAAGTGAATTTCTGCAGTTGAGCACAACGCATGGTGCGAAAGGCTGATCAAGGGGCTGGAGTACCATTTTCACAAGGGGAACAGAAGCAGCTTGTGTTTAGCATAGTAAAATGAAATCTAGAGGTGCAGAATCCCTCAAATCAGAGGTATACCCAGAGAGTAAGTGCTGGGAAAAAGAAAGAACAGAGTAATGTTGGGTTAAGAACAAATGAGAATAAACTGACTGAATAAATTTAAATGGGAAGTTAGAGGAAGGTTTTTCAAGTAAGAGCTTTCAGAAAACTGTTTTTTAGAAAGTATATTTAAGAAATGGGATTTCACTAGAGTTTGCAAAAAGTGCGTACACTTCTGCTTTGCAGCTGAAGAATCCATGAAATACTTTGTCTGGTACAGTTGCCTGCAGGAAACAAAGGTCTTGTTACAGTAACTCATGATATTATATTCTAATTCTGTGGACATTTTAACGCATTTTTAATTTTTTAAAAAAATTGTTTGTATCTAGCAGTTGTGAATCCTGTAGAAAATGCTGACATACAAATAGTCAGAAATGGTTCAGAAAGTGTTTATAGTGTTGATCACTGTATGTTTAAACCTTGATTTTCCTGAATGTATTGTTTTGTTGAATGAAAATTAAAACAATCCTGGGTGTTGAATTGGCACTCAAGTAAGCTGAAATGCTGGTATATCAGGAAATCATTTCCTGAGGATCTGAAAATGTATCTCAGCATCAAGTGGAAGGAATCTGTAGTAATGCTTGGATGGAAGTTACTGTTTAATTTCCTTTTGATCCTTTAGCAGGAAACTACTAAACAGGGCAGTTAAGTAAGTTCTGTGTTGTATACTTAATCACTAACAATTGTACTCATTCTGCCAACGCAGTTTACAATACATGTTAAATGAAAAGAACTGCAGTAAGAGTATAAAAAGTGCATTTTTGCCTTTGTGGCTCATCTGTAGGAAGCTCTGAAAGTGAAACTTTCTACTTAATTGTTACATTTATTTGTATTTATTTTACTGTAGGTTTGCTCAGCAAAACTTTTGAGATTTCTTCCTCTTTTCCTTCTTTTAAGACCGTTGTTTTCACTGGAAAATGGGGATTGATTTTCTTGTTCAGAGCTTACTTAATGTTTGCAAATAGACATTTGGCAAAAGTGAACTAAATTCATACCCAGCAACATTTCTAACTTATTCTTTTAAAAACTGAAGTGATTAAAATTAAGCTACTTTATGAGATTATTTTAAAAGTACTTGGTAATTGTCTGACTTTGTTTCCATCTGTTTTACTTTAATGTTTTCCATCCATGTTTGCTTTACTGGACAGATTTCAGGAAAATGCCTTAATCCAATGCAAATTTATATATTTACTTGAGGAATTTTGTGACTAAGAAACACATTTTTACTTCCTATAATTCTGTTGGTAATTCCCCAAAGGTTGGCTCTGTGTCTCCTGCTTGGACCTTTATCCTGTCAAGACAACAGGAGAAACAAATGAAGATTGTAGGAAGGGTGCTCTTGGTATTATTTCAGCTTGGATCACCAAAATAGAGAAAATGTTGTAAAAGAATCTTTTCCTTTTTTCTTTTCCTTTGTTCTTGTTTTTTTTTTCTTTTTTCCTATTTCTTTTTTTCCTATTTTTTTTTATATATATATATATCTTAATTTTTTTTGAATGAACACAGATACCATCACTGTTAATATAAATCTCTTTCTGTCATCCTTCAACAATAGACACAGGCAGCTCTTGCTCTGTGAGGGCTTCGTGCAATATGTTATTCTGCATAGCTATCTATACTGTTTTTCAGTAATTAACTTGTGTCATAAGTTTTCCACTGCTGTTCTTCCTTGACTGAAACCAGAGCATGACTTGCTAGATCTGAGGCATATTTCTGGTCAGCTGTTGAGAGATCACTGTGCAGAGGTTTTAGTTTGGGAAACAGAGAGCTAAAGCGGTTCTGTCTGCTGCAAGTTCATGACTGAACACTTGTGAGGGTTAAGCAGGAGGCCCTTGACATCCATAGAGACAAGGCTGTGAGAAAAGCAGGACTGTAGGAGTCAGACCTGGCTGGTGGCCTACAACCAGTGTCACGCTGTCCTGCCCACTGAGACAGGGAACGGTGGTCATGCTCAGCTTTAGCCCTAAAGCCTAAGCCCGGTTTAATATGCTATGCTATTTCTGCTGTGAGCATCCTCAAGTAAAAGACTGTCCAGGAGCTGCCTCTCTGCAGTCATCTGTTTTTAGGTATTTGATGCATATCAGTCAGCCCCCTGAAGTCCGAAGGGCAGGCTAATGTCAGAGTGGCACCAGTGGTGTATACGGGCTTAACGCAGATCAGGCCATACAGAAAAGCTTTGGATATCAACTGAACTCTTCAGAAACACCTTAAGCGCGTCTATGTTTGTTATGGCCAGTCAGCCACTGGAGTGAAGCACAGCATTCAGGTCTGTACCTGTGTCTTCTTGCTGAGCCAGCTGCTGCTGCAGTGTGCCTTGTAGAAACAATAAGGTTTTGCCTCTAGTATCCACCATTTTCTGAGGCAGCAGACAAAGCGCGAATAGCAAAAATCAGCTCAGCCGAAGTAGGGACCAGATGGGGTGCTGAAGTCAGCTGTGAGACACAGGGATCCTCTTCCAAGTGGTAACTGTTTCTTTTCGTTGGAACAGCGTAAATTTCTGTCCGCAAACTTGAGTGTGAGCGTGTGGTGTTAGGGTATTTAGTGTCCTTTCAAAGCTGAACTTGTGGTCTTTCAGTCCAGATGGATTTGTTGGCAGCTTATCCACAATTGCATTTCTGTTGCAAACATAGCTGATTTTAAGCAAAAAACTTGGCTTTCATTCAGAACCACTTGCAGACCACAGCAGGGCCCAGTATAAGTGGACATGCTTCATCCCATACTCTCCTGAGGCGCAGAGGGGCACAGTGCCAGGACTTTCCTGAGGCACAATGCTGGGCAGTTTTTCTCCTTATTTACTCAATGTAAAATTGCCTAGTTAGTGATGCAGAAATATGTGTAGCGCTACTGCCTTAAAAAGGCGTTCCAGCAGGTGGGTACAGGGGAGCTTAGAAAGACTCTCCTGGACCTGTTTTTTTCTGTTGATCTTCTTTGATCACAGCACCTCACTTCTAGAGACATTTGATAGAGCTCAGATAGTTACACCCCCTTTGCTATTTAAAGTAGACTGTCACAGACAAAATACTGCCTTTAGTTCAACCCATACACCCAGCTGGGCCTGGAAACCAAGTAGTGGCTGGGAAGCGGGAGGTTTATTTTCGTCTGGTAGCACAGTAATTATTACGGCATTTGGAAGACGCTTTTCTGCTGGCGGCAGGATGGTATAACTCACAGTGATGCTGTGTAAGCACAGCATGTGGGATATTGTTGAGCCTTGCTTCTGGCTGACAGTAATATCACATTCAGTGTGTAATTAAACAGTTCATAAACTGCCTTGAGATGTTTGTTTATGGGCACTTTATAGCAGAGAAGTGCAGTGTTTTGCAGGATGCTGGAATTTTTGTGCTCTGCAAAGCATTTGTATTTGATATGCCTTTTCTTTGACACAAATACTCAGTGACTAGAGTGCATTGTTCTGCTGTTGATGAAAGACATACAGCTAAGGTGATTTTCCTGCAAATTTCTGTTGCTGATTTTTGCTTTCTGATATTTTAGCTAAATAGCAAACTACCTGTGGATGCATCCGTATCAATACTTTAGCAAACTATAATTTTAGGTAACAAAATGAGTTTGTGTTTTGCTTTTCAGAAGCAATGCTTATTTACAGCAGGATAAGCAGAAACACTTAGAAATTGGGTAATATGGTGAGGATACTGTGTAAATGATATGTAAGAAAGTGCTAGTAAATTTTTGCTGTGCTTAATGCTACTTGTTTTGTTTCTACCAGTTTAGAGTGAATGAATTTGGAGCCCTGGAGGTGATAACAGATGAAAATGAGATGGAAAGTGTTAAAAAAGCCATGGCTACCACCACCTGGATGGTTCCAACTGCTCAAGAAGGTCAGCTAAGAAGTCACTGAAGTTTTCTGTAGTAGACTGTAGTTTATATAATGAACCAGTTTTTCTACAAGATTGCCCCCCAAATTAAAATTAAAATGAAATGAAATGACTTATTTGCTTAATGCAGGAAGTATCTCTGATGATCCTACCTGTTTGTTTGGATGCTGATAATTATGAAATAAATGTATTTTAAGGTAAAAGGAAATAATTCCACTGTTAACCATCTGAAGTTGAATTATCGCCACAGTTTTCTCTTACAGTATTTTTTTTTTAAGTTTAGAATTAGTATTTTTGTGTTTAATTTCGAAAGCGGTCAACTTCTTACTCTAAATTGTTCAGAATTTTTTTGCTGCTATTTTTATTAAGCTGGTTCTCCAGACTGCTCACAGACTTAACTGACCTCCTACAGTGTTCATTTCTGTCTGTAAACAGCCTTTGTGTAACCTTAGTTGCTACTCAACTGCTCCCACCAAGCTCAGTTTATGTCTCTGCACTTTTTCCTTGCTTCTGCTGACTATACTTTATCACAACATTAAAGTAGCATGTAATAACCATTTACATTTATCATGAGTGGTGACATTCTAATAATTTTGTAGTGTCTGTCTAAATAACAAGGTGCAAAACAAGATACAGTGTGTCCTTTAAATAAAGTACTGATGTGAGAAAACACTTCTAGTGTTCAGGGGACGTTGGTTTACATAGTTCAAAATTCTGAGAATTTTGATACAATGATGGAACAGCATGAAAGAATAGCACAGCTGTTTTTGTGGTTGCTTACAACTACTTTTTTTTTTCCTTCTTTTTTATATTATATGTTATCAATTTTCTTTTTGAATATGCATTCTGTAAGTTGAGAAACAGAATTTGAAATTCCATTTTAATAATCGTCAGTAGCCTCTCACAAAACAGAATAAGCAAAGTCAATGAAAGTATTCTTTTGCTGTTGCCCCATTGTCATGTGACTTATATAAATAATTGAAACATTTGTATCAATGGGAAATTAGCTTGGATCTCAGCAAGAAGGTCTGAATCTTCACATTACTGCTTTTGGTCTATAGGTTTCCAAGTCAGTGATTACTTTTAAAATATTCAAGATCCAGATCTGTGATGAGAGTGACAGCGACATAATAGTGTAGTAGTGCAGCAGATTCTCTCTTTCGACTGAGAGATTACAGTTTGCCTACAGAAAAACATATCTTCATCCCCTACTGTCCAGTAAGCCTGAAAAATCTCGCTACTGAAGTCAGGTGTGATTTTGGGCACATAAACATATTAAGCAATCATCACAAATATCTTGCACATTCTTTGATTAATTCATTGCTCCCCAAAGATATAATCCTGCTAAAATTTTCAGTTATGTGAGGGAATGATTGATTTGGACTGCTAATGACTGGGGAGTAAATATATCACGTAAATAATGTACTATTCTAGTGGAGATAGTCTGCACACAAGAGTTCACTTGACTCAATTTTTAAAGACAGTTTGGTATTCCAATAAAATAAATAGTGACTTGAAATTTACCTTTTGGCAGTGTAAAGTGAACAGCCTTCTTTAGGAACTGAAGAACTTCAGTGCTGAGTATTTGACTGTGAGCAAAAGTAACAGCATACTGCCCTAGGCTACATGCCTCCCAAGGGGAAGTCATAGCTTATGGTAAATTACTAATTTACTGTTTTAAAATCTATTTGCTACAAATTAGTTGTTTGTTTATTTGTTTTTCACTTTTGGTAGACCTCAGGGTTGTTGAGCAATAGCTGCTGCAGTAAAAGACTGAAATGTAGTTAGTGATTTATTTCCAGAAGTAAGGTATAAGCTATTAAAAGATAACTTCTCCCCAGATGACCCTACATGTCAAATATGAGTCATGTCAGTGCAACATGAGGTGATGAACTCTGCAACAGCAACTCTCCAGATAGTTAGCACAGTTCCTATCAGAAAATTCACTCTTTCCATGAGTAGCAACTTCAAGCAGTGTCAGTGTGCCAGTGATGCCAGGAAAATGAAATCAGTAGATTTTTTCTGGTGTTTTAATATGAAAACTTGTTGGGAATAAACCCCATACAGACATCAGTTTTCAGTTCTTCATTCTAACAAAAGTGGCATGACTTCAGTTTTCTGTTTGCTTACAAGGCTTGCTAAACATCATTGGAAATGTATCACCTCGACCTAAGTGAATTTATTTTTTCATTGTGCAGCCTTTTCAGAAAAGACAGGGATCTCCTCAAAGTTGAAGGAAACTGCAAAAATGGATGGACTTGTTTTCTGTGAAAACTGTTATCACTATGGTACTGTAGAAGAATTTGTTCCTGAAGGGAAATTTTGCAGCCAAAAATGTGCCCAGCAAGTAAAAAACAAGTAGGTACTATTATAAAGCATAGAAGCAAAGAATTTGGCGTAAATGCAGCATGAGATAAAAGTGGTGTGATAAAGCATTAATGGTGTGGCAGCCATGTTTTGGTGAGTCTCCAGCAGTTTATAACATTCTTTCATTGTTTTTAAACTCAGTGAGTTATGAAACATTTGCTTTTTGTCTAATGCTGATGTTGAAGGCGGTCTTCTTTATTCAGAGAGTGCTGTGTTCTGCTGTCAGATGCAAACAGCGATACAGTCTATGGGATGTATGAATCAGTGTCAAACTCCCACCCTGTTTCATAATCACTGGAATTAGGATAATCAGTAATTAGATGGTTGGTGTGGTAAGTTAATTGTAATTAAGTTCAAGAGCTGTATTATAGATGACAGTGAGTAAAAACATGAATATACTGTGGTTTCTCGGTTCCTTTTCTTTGAGCTACTGCAGTTCATCTCATCATAAATGAAGCCTTCAGTTAGTGGGTCCATTCCATGTTACGTTCTGCATTACAGCAATCTTTAACATCTATGTTTTTGTGCATTTCTTCCATTTTTAGTTAATTGCTTTGCCATTTTCTATTCTGTTTGCTTGTTTAGCAATTTGTTCAGTCATGTATCAACTTTCTCCAATTGGATTTGTCAGACTTAATGATTACCTTTTCTTTCCTTTCTGTAAACTGCCTTGCAGTCCTAAACATTTCACAGTTTGCTTCTTTGCCAGATTTGGTGGTACGTGAGAGAAGACTATTTAAAACATGCTAAACTGTTCAATGCAGGCTGACAGCTGTCCTTTTGCAGTTCTATTGTTTGTCTTTCAGCTTAATTTTTTGACAGATGTAATTTTTAGTAGTTTTCCTAAGAATGTATTTTTCATAATGCCTTCATAATATTTTTCATAGGACCTACAAGCGCTTGACCTTTAGATTTACTTGCATTTTACTTCTGTTATGAATATGAGAAATGAAATAATATTTTTTATCATTGTGTTGCTCCTGAAATAGAGAACCAAAGGAGGAAAAGCCCAGCATGGAATGCAATGGGGATGATGAATCCAAAGTCATTCGGAAAAGAAAAGCAAAATTACCTCTCAAAGAAGAGTCCAGGGATAATGAGGAGAAGAAAGATAATCCCGATGAAACTGTTAGTATGCATCATAAACTCATTTCTGCAAACATTTTAGTAGGAATTTTGCCTTATATTGCAATGTCAATAGATTCGTCACTCTGCAAATAGAAATGACTTCATTACTCCATCAAAGCCACAATAAGTACTTGATTCACTTTTAATTATGCCTCTTCAGCACATTCTAACTGTTGACAAGGGATAGAAACTGCTTTTTCTTTTTCCTATTCCTTCCTTCCTTTTTTTTAAGAATAGAACAAAAGGAACTTAAAGGAAAACTGATGCCAATCCAGAATTGTTAGTACTGTAGTATAGAAAAACAAAGCAATGTATTTCCCAATGCCTGTTACTTGTTTACTTTACACGAGTAAACAATTACAGACTAGTGATTTATTTGTAAAGAAAGTTCTGTTACAGTTAAGGAGAGTATACTTTTGATTTTGTAACGTAATTTGCTTTAGAAAAGCATAGCCAACGGTTACCAAGAGTTTCTCTGATTCAGGAAGAAGCATATGCCAATTGTTTGATTTTGGTGTTCTGATTTATGGTTAGTGGCGATTACCATAATCTTCGTGAGTAATTATAAAGATATAAAAACACACTAAAGCAAACAAAGTAGCCATGTCCAGCTCTGATTATACTTACAGGGATGAGTAATCTAACCTCCAAGACTTCCTCACTAGAAGGAAGTTCATGTGGCTCTTGCTGTCATTGCCCTAGCTTGTTCTGGAGATTCTGGCTTGTGGTGACAGTTGCTACTTAAAACTGAATGCTAGAACTTAAGAGAAACATTTCATCTGTGCTTGAAATACTTTTCTGCACCAGAAGAAGCAGCACACACAGTCTTATCTACTTTGTTATTTTTAGCAGTGGATGGGTTTAACAGTAGGGGTTGTCCACTGTCAGCTCTAGGTGGCTTCCACATTTACACGTGTTGTTCCTCAAAGGCCATACGTGCAAAAATTCTCACTCCTCTGGTTGGCTGTGGAGTATTTCCTGAAGGAGTAAAAATGGAAATGACAAATTGACTGGGATTTGGGTTTGTGTTATGCTGCAGTGTAATGCACTTTGGGGCACCTTTGTTTTCTTCCTTTTGGAGTTATTTTTCATCTGAGAACAAGAATTTGCAGCAGCTTCCTGTAATGTTTGTTTTCCTCTCAATAGCTGTGGCGTTACTGAGAGGAGCACTGTTTGGAGGGAGAAGGGGAGAGCACTGCAGTCACAGAATTGTGGAAGGACACAATGCGTGTCGAAAGAGAGTCCACAGCTTTCTGTATAACAGTGTCCTCAGGAAAAATTTGAGGACAGCTCCTTTGCTGCCGTGTGTCTGCTCTCCCAGATGAGGACTGGTTTTGTTCATCTGTTCAGATGCTTGGAAATCTGTTACTACACAAGCAGTGAAATAAATAAAAAGGATCAGTGTCATTTTATGTTTAGTTGAGTAATTATACATTTGAACAAAGCAGAAAAAGTTGTGCAAAAGGTTTGCCTTCACATTATTTTGGAAGCATGAACATATCAAAAGTACAGCTATTTATGTCCATCTCAATTGGTCCTACTGAAGGCTCACTGATCTGTCCCTGGCATAGACAAAGCTGTGCTGGCTGAGAGACAGGTGCTGGGAGTATTCTGTCATTTCCACTGTGTTTGCTGTGATTTATTGCTTGCTTTGTTTTTATTAGACATCTACAGGTTTGTCTGAGATAACGGAGATCTTCCTGGAAGCCATTTAAATGAAGTCAAAGTTAAACTTCACATGTCTGTTTCTTATCTATTAGACTTCTGAACTAACGTTTGAATACTTTTTATTTAGGAGGATAAATCTGAAGGCAGAATTTTGAGAGTCTCACAGAGAGCCAGAAGAAAAAGAAAAGGGGATATAACAGTTTTGAAACAAAGTAAGTTAAATTATGAAACAAAATCTCAAGTGTCACTTATTTATGTGATACCTACCTCTTGCTGTGGATTGCCAGCATTGTTTCACCAAATTTTTATCCACTGTTAAATACAGTTTTGCCCATCTGCAAAAAGACAGTATCAGTGTTATTTGTAGTAATTAAGTTGTAAGGACTGAAGAACTCTGAGAACCAAGCGGCAATATTGGGGATATAAAATGACTCTCAGCGATTGATTGCCTTTTACAAAGAGCCAGTTTATATATGCCTGGCAGCGTGGAGTTATATAGTAACTGTAAATGTAGCTGGTGCACAATTTAGATTTTTTTTCATCCCTCTAAAGAGTGCCAATATTAAGGGGAATCAGATCCATTTTGTTCCCAGATGTTGAAATACATGTATTAAGCAGGAGTGAAAGTTTCCTTTTCTTTCCTGGGGGATCAATTTTGTATCTATGGTATGGCTGGAAATAGACACATTTATGGAACTGTTTAGGAATAATTGCTATAATCAGTCCAAAGGGAAATATACTGCATGAAGTGGCATAATAAAACATTTTTTAAATGAGCACTGTTTTTTCAAGCTGTTAACATGATAGATACTTTTTGGAAGATTCAGAAAATCAGTACTCACCAGAAGGCTACACGTTCGCCCTCCAGGGTGTTTCTTTTGGTATGCTGGGAGCTGTTACCAGAAGTTGCCTTTAGCACAGAGCTCCAAGTAGCTCTGCTGCACAGTATGTGATACACTGATCGAGGATGCAATGTGTAAAAAAGTTACAGAAGATTCTCTTCCTGAGATAGAATTACTCCTGAAATGTAAATACCATTTCTGCAGTTGTATCCAGAACTGGGACCGTATCAAGTATATGGGATACAAGCACAAAGCTGATTCTGACTGGACACTGCTGTCCACTGACATAATGATTTGTATAGATTTGTCTTGTTTGTTTGTAGGCAAAATGTGTGTTCAGAACCAAGCGTATAACTGTATTATTTTGCCGAGCAACACATCTCTTAAATAACAGAACAGATAACAACTGGGTTAATCACAAGTAAAATGGGCTTTAAAAGCATTGAACAATCACTGTGGATGTGAATTTTGTTATATTTTGGTTGAATTATGTCTTTGGGAGAGTTTGGCATCACTATTGTTATGGTTCACATTTTAAATGGAAAACACTTAGCCGAAGTATTATTTAAGAGGCTTATTTCTCTTGTGAGTAGCCTGCAATCAGTATCAGACCAGGATCACATCATGGTTGATGAGAAATTCTCCTGCTGACATGAGCTTATGATCTGAATTGCTAAGCTACGTGCATGGAAGAGGCATTTTAGACAGTGAGCAGCAGAGCGGAGTGGAGGTATATTAAAGTAGATGTATACATGGCCAGCCTCACAAACCATCTGTTTTTGAAGTTCCTGGCTTTTGCTAGTTACTGCTCAGTGCTGTTTCCTTAAGATGAGCTATAATCAATAATGCATATGCAAGTGTATGCAAATGTCCATACTACATAGCTTCTCCTTTATGTTAATGAAAAAATGAGGCTGGAAAAAAAGGACCGGTGTAAGTTCTGATGGTCTGAAAAAATTATTGTTAAATCACTACCTTTCTGCCCAAAACAATCGAACTGTGTAGTGAGTACTGTCATAGAATAAAGTGCTTCAACTAAGGTTAAAAAAAGAACATATCATGACTGCTATCCAACTGAAACTGCTTTACTGAATTGGAATTTTCTTTTTCTGAAGAATTTTTTTTTAATATAGAACTACTTTGTATGATTTGATCTGATCTTCTTAAGTGTGTTTGTAAATTGTACATCTGAATGCTTTTATAGGAGCAATAAGAGAAAAGAGGCAGAAGGCAAGATTATGTAAATTGTTCTCATCACAAGAATGAACTTTTTCTTCTTAATAATCAAGGTTGGAACCGATGGAAATAATTCTGTACAAACCTGCATGTTCATGGTACCTTAAACCCACACAATTACTGTTTTCTTGAAATAAGTCTCAAGAAATATCACGAATGCATTTAATAAAATGTAGATTTGAGATAGATATGTTATAAACATTTTGCTTATTTTATTTTGTTAAGAAATTAACAGAGAAATCTTTTTTTATTCTATCCTTTACAGCTGTATCCTCTAAAGGGAAGCAACTGTGGTGTTGGGCGTCCTATCTAGAGGAAGAAAAAGCTATTGCAGTACCTACTAAGCTTTTTAAAGAGGTATGACTTCTGAAGTTGAGATCATCAACTAGTGAAGATCAAGAAACTTCTAGGGAAATCAATTGAAATAAAAATAATAAAATGTTACACTTCCCTAGTGATAAACCTGTGTGATTAAGGCAATGCATCAGCAATCATCAAAGTATTCAGAAAATGTGTAAAATTAGTTATCTTTCTCTGCTTTTTCAAAGAAATGTGTGGTTTTAGTTAAATGCTGTCAGCTGAAACCATAGAAAACAGCTGCTTTTCCAGAGTCTGCAAGTTCTAGTCTTTCTTTGTAATTTCTGAGGCTGAAAATCTGATATATATCCTAATTTTTATGTGACATATCATTCCCTTTAAATATGCTTAGAAAGCTGTTACAAAGGTCGTCTTTCAGCTTGTTGCTTTGATTATATTACCTGTCTTTTTGCAGCTCTTGCTGATGTCTTATGTCTTTTATTACATCTGATACTAGTTTGCCTTGTTCCCATTTTGCCTATCGTCTGATTAGATGTCACATCATCACCTCTTGCTTGTCCTTTGCCTGACGGTAGACTTTGTCATTTGCCATTTCAGTGGTTGTGCTGTCTCTTGCTCAGATGAGAGCTCTGTATGCAAATCAGCAAAGCTTTCGTGCTGCTCTCTTTTGCGAAAGCTGGTAAAACATACGAACATTCTCAGCTACTGCACTTCTCCACTGTATAATTCTAACAGTTATACTTCCTTTTGATAATTCTATCCTTATCTTGGAGTCTCTTTCTTGCATCCATTTGTTTCACTTCGCTTTACACTCCAACTATTAGATCTCTCTTGCACAGAGATCAGCTTTTCAGCTTACACGTGTGTGTGGCTGATCTTTAATTGGTTCTCCTAGACATTGCTGAGATATAAAATTAATTAACAAAGTAAATAATATTGCAGTGTAGAGAATCCAAAAATTTCCAAGTGCAAGAATGACAGTTATCTGACTACCATTTATTGTATCCCCCTGTACTGTTCACTGGTTGAAAAAGTGACCAAAAAATCCTGGTAAGTAGTGTCACTATCTGAAATGTAGATTTCAAAAGTGTTGCTCTATCTGTCTGAAATTCCACGAAACGCTGCTGCTGCAGCACACAGCTTTTTATTTAGTGCACAGTACTTTTAACCCTGTAGCAGAGAGAAGATTCTTAATACCAGTCAGAAGAGGCCAGGTAATATTACTCCATTTTACAGATGGACAAGCAAACCACAGAAACAGTAGTGTTAAAACAAAAACTAAGAAAAACATACCCAGCAACAATTTTGAATCCTTGTTTCTTGTTTGGGTTTTGAGAATTACTGTATTTTTTTCCAGTTCAGAAGCAATAATATTCAACAGGATTTTTTGTACTCTTTGTTAAATAGTTAGCATAACGGAGAAGCCTTCCCACTATCTGTTACTTAAATCTCAGACTCACTTCTAGGCTGCAACTGACAAGATCTTATTGTTCTGAGAAAAGGAAATTAACTGACCCTTGAGTTTTGTTTTTCTTCCATCTCCAGTTCCCCTGACACAATCTTCTGGGTTTTGTCTAGGTTCTTGCACCAAAAAAAAAAAAAAAAAAAATTTCTAATTCTCATTTGCAGACTGCTTTTATATTTACTCTTTTGTTCTTATTTCTTTCCTTAATAATGTATCTTTAAATGTTTGTTATGAAGGAAATGCGTGATAACTGAGTTTGTTACAGACTTTACCTCCGGTGCTGTATGACATAAGCATAATGTACAAAATTGAAATCTGTTAAATAGCATTAAAGTTATTAGGCTCCTCAAAGTTGCTTGTTATTTTTCTGTAATGGAAATAGTGTGTTGCCTTAAAAGTGTTCAATTTGACAGTAGAAAGCATTGCGGATAATTCATGTCTCATATTTCAGAAAATAGCTGGGTGATATTTGTGTCATACTGTTTGTCATACTTTGTAGAATTTGAAATTTACAATGTATATTATAGCCATGAAGGAAAAAACAGATCTGAGATGTAATTGTTTCTTTTCTTTGTACCTGCTTTTGCAAAATCTCTGTTACCTTTTTGGGTACTGTTCCTCAATTTCTTGCTATTTCCAGCATTTCATTGTTACAGTAAAATATTTTGTTGTGATGCAGTCTGTTGGAGCTGCAAGACATTGTATCAAGATGAGCTTGAAAAACTTCAGTTTAGTGATTTTTTTTTTTTTTTAAATACTGTTTTTACTTTCATCTTGAGGAAGTATCCACAATTATACACATAGTGTAATTTTTTTGAATTTTAACTGGGAAGAAAAACCTCAAGCATGGCATTGCTAAGGTGAAATAACTTCTCAAATACTTGTACTTTAGTCAGCCACTCTAATCTCTCAAACTGAGCTCTCAAAATCTAACCTGTTTTTAGAAAGACTCTTCATCTATTAGCCGACCCCTTCGGGCTGACTTCAGCTGGTCTAGTTCTTCATTTCCCTTCCCCTTGACTGTGTGTTTCTGCCCCTGTGCCTCATACTGTATTTTTTTTCTCCTGGATATATTATTCAGATGAATTGCAGTCAGCACCATCAAAGAGATGATTCTCATCCTTTCATGTAGAGACCTACAGAGGTCTCATCTTTCTCTGACTGGTGGTGCTGTAGATGGCTGGATAGCAGGTATAATTTTTAGGTAGCATAAGCTAGGTAAAACAGATCCTCTGTTTGTGTTTCTCTGTATTCATTTACCATCATTTACCAGAAGAGTTTTGGATGTTTTGGCACAAGTGTGCTCTATATTTTTATTCACTGTCTTATTTCTCTACATTTCTTCTTTTGCTTCTTAAGATTTTGAGTGAATGGATTATATGTTAACTGTATTTGATTTTGATTTGGTAATGCATATGTTCTTCTTGTATAAAAGTTTTTTGTTAGTATTCTAAGTTCAGGGAAAATCTGTGATGAAAGCATGCTGTGTACTGGTATCTGAAGCATACAAAAATAATGTTAGCATCTAACTCTCTTCTATAAACAAGTGTTGCCTCTTAGGATAAGAAAAATATGCTATATCTTGCTAATCAAAGACAGCAACAAAAGGAAGGGGGAGCACATGTAGTACTTCTCTTGTGTTTTATCATTAACTGTTTGAGATATAAAAAACTGACTCTGAATTTAGTAACTCATGGAAAACTCTTTCTGATTTTATTCAGCTTTTTTTTTTTTTCTGTTTTTCTTCTTTTCTCCCTTCCATTCTTAAATTGAACTTTATCTGTAGCTTCCTTCTTTAAGGAAGAACAAGGAACATGATACAGGGAAGCTGACACTTTCCTGTTGAAAATATTCATTTCACTTTTTTTTTTTTTTTTTCTAGTATGTTTTTCTGGATTCATTGTAGTATAATATAAGAATGATAGAATGGTTTGCATTGAAAGGGACCTTTAAGATCATCTAGTTCCAGCTGCCCTGGTTATAGGCAGGGACACCTCCCTCTAGACCAGGTTGCTCAAAGCCCCATCCAGCCCGGCCTTGAGTGCTTTCAGGGAGGGAGGGTCCACAACCTCTCTGAACAACTTGTTCCAGTGTCTCACCACCCTCACATTAAAGGATTTCTTCCTATATCTAGTTTAAATCTACCCTCTTCCTGTTTAAAGCTATTTCCCTTCATCCTGGAACTACATGCCCTTCTAAGAAGTCCTTCCCTAGCTTTCCTGTAGGCCTCTGAAAGAGTAATAATGTTCCACTAATGCAAAAATGTTCGTGGAAAATGAGGTTATCTAGATTGAACACCTAAATGAGAAAATGATGTTAAAGAGGCAATCCCTGTATAGAAACGATACTTTGTATTTCTGCTTTACAGTTCATCTTTGATGGTCTGAGATGGAGAAAAGGCAAAGTATCATTGAGTATCAGAGTATCATTGTTGTGATTGTTATAGAAATGCTTACCACCAGAAAGTTGTGAAAGTGTCACTGCACAGGCAGAAAAATAAATAATTTCATTGTTAGAATATTTTTCAGGCAATTATTGAAAAAAGTTGAGGGCTAACTTTGTTCTCTCCTTGTGTAACTTCTTCCAATTCCTCATAGATTTTCTAAATACTCAAAAGCTTTGCCTCATTCTAATATCACTGTTTTTCAATTTCTCTTTTCCTCAGTTAAGTTCTTAAACATGAAAAACTTACTTTAAAATAACGCATTAATTCCTTCAGAAACACAATAAATAATCACTGTTGTTTTCCTTGTAAAGATATTCTGTTTTTCTTAGGTATTCTTTCAGAAGTACTGAAAGTGTTCTTTTCCATTTCAGTATCAATCCTTCCCATACAACAAAAACGGATTCAAAGTAGGGATGAAGCTGGAGGGTGTGGATCCCGAGCACCAGTCAATCTATTGTGTTCTCACTGTGGCTGAGGTAATCTCCTGGCAAGTGTTAGTTTGCTAAGAGCAGCCGTGGTGCGCAATCACAGAAGAAACTCCACTGGAAGAGCAGCTGCTGGAAGTAGAAAAATGTGAAGTTTCACAACTGATTTTTAGTGATTTTATAGAAGTTTATTAGTATTTCAGTTGGTACATTCACTGATAATTTTTTTTTTTTTTTTTTTTTTTTGGGGGGGGGGGAGGTTCATTGCAATTGTGCTACAATTTTTTTTTTCAGGTTTAGTGACTCAGAAATTGACTGTACTGACAACTTCTGCGAGTTAGTATACAGTATAAATGTTTTTATCTTTTGCTGTCTTATGAAGAAATATTTTTCATAAGAGATTTCTTTGCTTTTAAAAATGTAGATGAGAACCTATTTCTCAATTACAATTTTTATGTCTATTAAATGTACATTAATTTTTACAGTTTTAGTAAGGTTCATTTTAATGGAGAGGAGTTGTTCTATATAGTAAAATGCGGAAACAAAAATAGGTAGATGCTCTGCATCACTGGTAAACAGCTGTAATTTCATTGTTTATATTTTAATAACTTAGGTTTTTTCATTCCCACTTCTGAATGGCCCATGGTCATATTCTGTTTCTGTGGATTTCTTCTACTTTCTTGTGGATGCTGCATGTCAGTAGATGAGTATTGCTTGTGTACTGGATACTTATCAGTAAGTGACAGGTCATTTTTTATGGCAGAATGACCTGCCATAAATTCTGAGGTAACATAAATCCTGTGTAATTCTGAGGTGACAAAATGGAAGTATAAATTAAATATATAAAAGGGTGACTATGATGTTAAAAGAATTTCACTGATGACTGCAGGAAAAGTTACAGTATTCAGCACTCAGGAAGATGTGGGCAACTTTAGTCTGGATGAGAGGGATTGAACCTCCTATTTTTTCCTTCTTCAATTATTATCTTATTACATAATGGAATAATGACATTCTGGGGCATCTCTCAGTTGACTTTTCATCTTTAATGACAGTTCTGGAGACCATGTTTAAACATAGTCATTTTTGGAGTTCTAGTGGTATTCTCTCTCACACTGGTGAATCAGGATAGCTTCAAATCATCATTACCTACACTGCTCTGTGATTGTATCAGATGCATATCCATAGTCTTTTGTAGGATTTCTGTTTTATTCTGATGTTGTGCTGGAGCAATTTTAAATTTTTAAACAGTAATAGCGGTATATAGCTCTTAGTGTTTTTTACCTGAAGAGGCAGCACTCAGATTGAGAATACCTTTACTTCTTCATCACGCTTTCTTTTTTATTAAGTTATCTGATTCTAGCTTGAGCAGAGATAAAAGTCTGACTAAAAGCATGCTGTTAGTATGCATAATGCTGAACATAAGCTGTTGTGAACAGGGTGAGGATCTTAAATCCCAAGTACTGTATGCTCTTATGCTCTACATTCTTGCTTTTAGGTTTGTGGCTACAGAATACGACTCCACTTTGATGGATACTCAGACTGTTATGACTTCTGGGTGAATGCTGATTCTTCAGACATTCATCCTGTTGGATGGTGTGAAAAAACAGGTCACAAGCTTCATCCACCAAAAGGTATTTAGTTTGAATTGAATGCATTTTCTCAGATTGGATCTATCTTTGTAATGTAAAAAAAGTTTTTGGCAGAAATGTTTTTGTTCTTTTATTCAGAATATTTGAACATATCAAATTAAACTGTGTATTAAGTCTTGCTAAAATCTTGAGATTGAAAACTTGCCTTTTTAATTTGGTGGAAATTTATAGAAAGCAAGGAACAAAATGAACCAGAGAAGTAGTGCATAAGGCATTAGGAGAGAAAGTTAAGTAACAAATGTAGACCCCAAATGAATTATTTTTGTAAGTAAACAAGCAGCATCTTGGCAAGTGAGAATCTTTTAGTAGAAGGTTTCAGGACATTTTTATTATTACATACTGTGTACATACATTGTTATAGACTAATGAAGATTGTGCTTTTGCCTTAAAGAGTAAGCTTTTAATAGATACAAAAATAGGAATTAAGAGATTGAGAGTGAGAAATAAGTTTACAACCTGAAAATATTATCTACAGGTAGTTTAAGTAAATGGCACAAGTGCGTTGAAATATTTTGAATTTGCTGTTTAGTTATTTCATTTCAGGTTACATAACTATTTTATTTTGTATTGGAGTGTATCTCTATAAAACAGTGCTGTCACAGAAGAACTAACAGACTCCTTTCTGGGGAGGGAAGAGAGTGTGTGTAGAGAAAGCAAGCAAGCTGTGAGTGCAGGAGAATGAAATAAATTAATGGGGTGTTCTGAAATAGAGTAGGATAATAGGCCCTAGAACATTTGCAAAATGATGAATATAGAGAAAAAGACTTGCATTATGAAGTATTAAAAAACTGCGGATGCGAGTGCTCAGATGCAGAAAGTAAAATTAAACCACCAAAACGGTATGGGCTGAGGGCCTGCCAGTGAGGAGAAGGTGGCATTTCTTTAGTTGAGCTTTGTAGGAATATGAAGGGGCATGAGCTGCAGCTCTTCTGAGCTCTTCGTAAGCTGCTCATTGACTTCAGGGCAAGACTGCTCCATGCTGCCACTTTCGTACTTGCCTTGTTCTGCATAACTGGCTGTATAGAAATAGTGATTTCTTGAACACAAATCGTATTTTTTTTCAGGAAGTTGACCTCCGGAAGAGTAATATGTAACAAATGAGTTCTAGAGTTATTGATGTTACTAATGCAAACGTTTTATTTTTGTGGTGAGAGTTTGTCATTTTTTTTGTCTTAAATGCCTCAGTTAGAAAGCATAATCTTCTATTAATCATAAATTATTGTTATTGGAGGAAAGTTTTCTTCCAAATCACTTTAATGAAATTTCTTCATTTTCTAGTCTTTGGTATGATTGTGTTTTGTTTATTTTTTCGCCACATTGAAACAGTGTAGCTCTTTTACTTAGGAAAGTCATGGAGCCTATCAGAGGAGCTGAGAAAGATGCCCTGGGGAGAAATGTGGAGGTACTTGTCAGGAATCTGGTTGTCATCCTGCACAGCTATGTAATCCTGCTACCATCGAGAACATAATCTTAACTTTTGAATAACAAGATAATTCTCTGGTATTTTATCAGAGACCAGCAAAATATTCTGCCCTACATATGGCTTAGCTACTTTGCTTCATCTCAGCAGTAAACTGTACAATTATTTATGAGGTTTGATTGCTGAAACCTGCTCTCATCCTTGTGAGACTTCTTTGTTGTTGTAATGCAGTCTAAGCTTGCATGTGGAATGGAAAACAAATGGAAAAGAACAAGTGGTATTGTAGAGTCATACTTTGGAAGGAGATGGAAGAGAAGTGAGTGTTCATCAGTTACAGATATTTTTTTAGTTTTGCAGCAGGACATCTGTGATTTCTTTGAAAATACGGGATTCTCAAAGGTTAAACAGCTATTATAGTCTGCGACATTTGAACAGCACTTGAAATAGTCAAGAGGTGACACATTTCACACGTTTCAGTAGATAAGGAAATCACTTACCAGAATTGATGGTGTTTTACTGGATTATAATTTATGAATTAAAATAAGTGTGCCTAAAACATATTCAACAGGTGAATAAAGGAAGAAAGCTCTATGTGCTTACAGCTCTTTTTTATTGCTTTAGTGATTAAATAATTAAATAATTCAACGTGACCAATTTGTGCAGTTTAATATATTATGAATTATTTTACTTTTTCCATAAGAAAATATTAGAAGATGCAAATTATCAACAGAATTTTAGATTTATTTCTAAGTGCCTAGAATAAAAATATGGAAAATGCATGTAGGGGACAGTTTATCCTATGAGTCCATATGGGAATCTGTGGCATTGATGGTATAAACAGCTGTTTTGATATATCTTAGGGAGCTTATTTTAGAGCCACTTGTGATTTTGCTGAATCAGTGGTAAAGTAAGGTAAAGTCTGTAGGAAGCGTGGAAATTTCTTTTGTTAGACTGAGCTTTTGAGTCTTTGTTGGTTCTGAAATCAAAGCCACACTCTGAAAGTCACAACAGAGCACTTGCTCTGGGCTTATCTGTTTTGAGTGTCAGTCAGTTCATTAAAACTGGGGGTAGCTGTGGGGCAGAGAAGAGAAAGATGGTGAGATGTGCATTCTTGCAGAAAGAGGGGTGACTTGTAGCTTGTGCTCCTTGGAGAGTTTTGTTGGAAGTGAGAGAGATTATAATATCAAACTTCCTTACTGCGATTTTTGATATCTTGTAGAATTTTTGTTTTTAGGCTTTCCCCTAAATGTTGTTCTTTACACTGAGGACCTTTGTGTCTGGTGATCAGAACGGAGATCAGGGTCAGAGGCCAGAGATCAGGAACAGAACAGTAGTTTTGTAAGAAGTGCTCCCTGCATTGCTTTGAAGGTGAAACTGAAACTGAGCTGAAGTCTCATGAGTTGGTGCCTAGCACATCATTTATATGGTTTCTCTTCTAGATGAACATTAGGAACAGTTTAAATGTCAGTCCTAGCAATCTACAGGAAACTAATAATGTTCAGCAGTATTTTGTTCAGATAGTGTAAAGAAATCCTGACATTTTTGTAAGGAGGATCATCCTGCCCTAAACAAACATGATTCCTCCTTGTAATACCACATATGGAAATAATAAATAAATGGAAGAGCTTAATCAACTTTCTTTTGAATTCTGTAAGCTACAGTGTGTCCAGCTTCAGTTTCTAATAATCCAACATAGTTATCCTTCAGAGATTCATTGAGTTCATGTTAAGGTAAAATTAATAGTAGTTTTGAAATATTTTTTCTTATGTAGTCTATATGAAATAAGAATAAATTATTAGCAGTGGATAAGTTCTTCAGTTTTGAAATTCTATGAAGAATTTTACAACTGGATAGAAAAAATAATTTCAACAATTAAGATAAAATCAATTGCGTTCACCTTGTGTCTCATGCCTGTGTTATTTTTGCCCTTCTTTTACGTTGCTTATTTAGGATATAAAGAAGAAGAATTCAGCTGGCCTTCATATCTAAAGGCGTGTAAGGCTCAAGCTGCTCCTAAATCTCTATTTGAAAACCAGAATGCAGTAAGTATTCATTTGTTACTGGTAGTGGGGAAAGTAGTTAGTGTGCTTACATATGTGTTAGACTTACTACACATTTCAGTGATGGTAGGCTTCACTTCAGTTCATCTCTGCAATTCTCATCTTGTAGTTTCTTTTATTAATCTGTTTAAACACCTGATATATTCAAGAATTGTATATTAAATGAATCCTAACAGTTTGTTGTTCCTACGTCTCACATCACAATGTTGTAGAACGAGCACTGTCTTTCAGAGAGAGTACACGAGACAGAGTTGAAACTGATATATTTAATTTTAGCATCATGTTCAATACTTCTTTTTTATTTTGTAAACCGTGAGTCTCTTTCTGCTTGAGCATCTCTCATGTCAACTAATTAAGCTGGTGCCACTGTTGGTGCATCTATTTGGGAAACTTAGAAATGACATGAATATATTGATTGTGAACAGTGGGGAGATTTCTGGATTTACAGTATTTATCTTTAATTAAATGTCTTTCTCTATATAGACAGTGATTCCATCGGGATTTCGAGTAGGGATGAAGCTGGAAGCCGTAGACAAAAAGAACCCTACATTCGTTTGTGTTGCTACGGTAACAGACATGGTGGACAATCGTTTTCTAGTTCATTTTGACAACTGGGATGAGAGTTACGACTATTGGTATGTTGTTTTTGATATGTATCCTAGTGAGATGTATCAGAAACATGTTAGCTTTAAGCAGTACTTTCTAAAATATTTTCCAGACAGTATATACAGTTGCAGTACCAACTTTTCCTAGATTTGTAATCGTGGCCACCACAGTGTCTCTCCATGGTAGGCAGGAAGACTCAAATTTCCCTTGTTGGGTTACACATGAAAAATGTTCAGAGATTGTAGTGACTGTTTGTATGTGCTGCTACATCTAAAGCTGTGGTCTGATTTCTCATTTCAATTACATATTGAGGTTAATATTTTATTGAAGAATGTGCAGCATCACAATGTGACTGGACTTAGAATTAGATTTACATATAGTTGTAAGTAGAAAGTAAGACCGTATCTTTTCATGAGGCCCTTGGTCCAATTCAGCCTGAACTTTAGCTGTTTTCTGTAATGTATCAGGATCGTAGCAAAAGCTGGTTTTATTCTTATGTATTATATGATTCTCTGAAAATTGGGACCCTAGTGTCCTTCCCTGTATTGGAGATGACCTGTCTAGGTTGTTGTACAGTGGAGGGGCTTTGTGAAAAGTCAGTGCAAGCAGCAAAGACATATTATAAGCATGAAGATCCCCAAAGAAATTCAGATTTTGGCTGTTGCAGCACAGGTTTTTATTTACAATTGCATATTCTTGTAGTAGATTGTTTAGAGCAAAGTAGTGTATCTTACATTTTTTTTCAGAGTGAATTAGTACAGAGCAGGTAGGTCATTGTAAGGCTGCATCATGCTTCTGCAGTGGTAATTGAATTCTATAGCTGAGCCTGTAAAAATAAATGAAGAAAGCTTTCTCTTCTGTATTTGGTGACTGCTTGGGCACTGTGTCATTAAGAATGATGTGAAGAGCTTCAAAACTTTGCGAGTAACTTGAAATAATAATTGTATGGGCTATCTGACAAATAAGCTGTAGGAGAATTAATTTATTGAATCAGTAGTGAGCAGGCATTTCAGGGAAGAACTGAGTGACAAGATGATAGGCCATATTACTCAAAGATTAGTGATTAATTTCATGACAAAATAACACAAAGCCTACATTTCCTCTACAAAGTAGCTGGAGTCTGGAAAGGGGTAAAATATATTCTGAATTCCTGGTATGTACGTGCTCATAAATAACAGTTATGCCATTAATTAATAATGAAAACAGCATTTAGGTAAGGCTTTTATGGCAGATGAAGACAATGTAATATAACCTGCAATTTGTTCAGAGGTGGCATAGGTGCCTCTCTAAAGCACTGCACTATGTATAGCAGACATACACTGAATTTCAAGCATAGTGATGTTGTCATGTCAACAGGCCTACCTTTCTGCACTGTTGTAATTGAGAACAGAAGTGAATAGAGGAGGAAGGAGGGAAAATAGAAAAGAATAGTGAATGAAAACAGTGATGGAATGTCTGACCAAAAGAGAACATGAAAATGCACCCCATTTATCTTTTTAATTTTGGTACCAGACTTAGAGGGGCCTTAAAAAATCTTGAGTGCATAAACTACTCATCTATCAGTGTCTTAACAAAAAATGAAAAGTTCTGTTGGGATTACCCAGAGTAAAGGCCTTGCAATTTCCCTACTCCTGTATGTAAGTTTAAATCTCAAAATTGCAATGGTTGCAGTAAGGAAAAATGGTTTATGTTGTATATGTAGTTGAGGATTTTCAAACAACTTTTTGGGGGGGGTTATAGTCAAACAAGCTTCATCTTTCATTTAGATTAGGCCAGTTGAACTTTTTCACAAATTATAAAGTCTTTTCTCTTCTTGAATGAATGAGAAACAGTTGACTAACTTTACTGAACTTCATGAAATAAGTATGAAACAACAACCATGGCCTAAGCATTTTAGGCTTCAAGCTTTCAACCTGAAGATGCTTTTCCTAACTTTTCTGGAGTGTTAGGAAATACATGAATGGATGCAGAAAGCTACCCTAGCTAGAACTAGTCATTGCTAATAGTCTTTAATGCATAGTGGTGATATTTTCAGTGTATTATAAATTCCATTAAATAGCCCTCTGGCAGTGTCTTTTAGAGGGGTGAAAAATAAACAAAATGGGCATTCATGATGGAGAATTTTGTTCTCTGTTCCACAAGCCTTCCAGTCCTTTCCATCTATCCTGTAGTATTTGCTGAAACAAACGATACTTCTTTGAGAGCCAAAGATGTTCCGTTGGAATGGAATTTCCAATTGCTTTTAAGCTTGGAATAAATCTGGAATTGGTCTTTTGGTATCTCCATGAATTAACAGTAGATCCAATCTGGCTTTCAATTCTCCAGTCTCTTATATCTGCTCTGTTTACACACAGATTTCCAGAGCCTGAGCTTCCTAATTATTTTTCTAGCAAAAACTAAAGCAGTCAGAGCTGTATCAGTAGTTGTGCTAGATTGTTGCTGCTTGCCCTCAGGAGAGATTGTGTGGTGGTAGTGCTGAGTGCACCACAGCCCAGCCTCACCAGCCTCTGGCTGCCTAATCCACTTGGTCTGAGTATCCCCTGCAGAAAAGGTGCTACATCAAATTTTGGGATCGGCTTGCCAAGAGTGTGGGAAAATATGCTTCATTCTCTGTTCTGCTCCTGTCCACCGTGCATAGAAAAGTAATTTCTAATGCCCCTTGTGAAGGTAAATCAGTTTTGATTATCTGAATTTTTGCCTCATCTGTGTGATACACAGGTAAGACTGGACACAGATATGGGCTGGATTTTTGTGTGATACAAAATAAGTGGCCAGTTCAACTCTCCACCAGCATCTGCTACTTTGCTAATAGCAAAGTCTTTAAAAATTATGGTCCAGTTGTTTCTTTTTTTGAGATAATAAATTTTGCTGCACCCTTTCTTTGAAAGGAATGCTCTTTTTGAAGTAATTATAATATGCCAAAAGGAGGATAAAACAATCTTAAAGAACTGAGGGTCACAGTACATGCTTTTAACTACCTGAATGGATAATAGACTAATGCATGAATCTAAAGCTGTAAAATGTTCTGCAAATAACCATGTGTCTGTCTTATCATCAGGTAATCAGTACAAAATATGGCAATGTGACTTGCTGTGCCACCTCTGGATGCATATCTTGAGTCACGTTTTGGGAGGTCATAACCTAAAATAATACCTTCTTGTCAACGATGAAGTATTCTCACTTATTCACTAGATGGGGCTGCAGGATGATTTCTTTGTTATTCTTTCTTTCATTTTTTCTTTTCCTTTTCCTTTTTCCTGGCTTCTTTTTCTTTTTCTTTTTGCTTTTCTTTTTTCTTTTTTTTTTTTTGTTGTTGTTGTTGTTGTTGTTGTTGTTGTTGTTGTTGTTGTTGTTGCACATAGTTAAATGCACTGACATGTCACAGTCAAGAAGTTGTATTAACAGCATTCCTGAGGGGTTAATATTATTTCTGAGTATAATGCATGTATGTATGAGTGTTTTGGCGTAGCTAATATTTTCATTGCAAGTTGTATCTAAATTTAATAATGTGAAATTCAAAATACCAGAAGGTTTGTTTCCCCAAAAGTGAAAAACAAACATTGACTCAAAACAGAAAATGAATATAATATTTACAACTTATTTTAAAGAATAAAAGCTAATGAGTAAATAAAAAATCTTCAAATCTTTAGGTGCAGACTCTTTTTGGGAGTGTTTTTCTAAGTATTGAATATTCTTTTTTTCTAACAACCAGTGTTATCATCTGTCTGTCTTGATCTGAATTGTATGAACTGTTTATATGAAATGGATCTGGGGGAAAAATTAACAAGACAGCTGATTTTAGCAATAGAAAAGAACTAATTCTGCTTCCATAGCCATGCCTGCCGTTCAGACGTCCTCTCCTGCTGTGAGCTAGCAGTCGTTTAGCTGCAGGCATGTTCCTTTCCTGTAGAGCGCTGCACTTGCCAGGGCTCACATTCCCAGCTGCCCTCAACTTTTTTTGTTATAGGAAGCTGTGAACAGTGAAACTTCTTTCTGACCTTTTACATCCCGTAGCTCTTTTTTGCACTGACATCCTTTGCAGGATGTCATTAAGCTGTTCGTAAGTTAGCAGAGCTGCTGGCTGTTCTGTCCCTCCATGTGGTTCAGCTGGCTCTCTGCTGCTTTTTGCTCCACTTTGGCTGCCTGGATTAGCTTCAGTTTCCAGTACAAACAATAGTTGTTCTTTCCTGTCTGAATGCTCTCTAAAGACTGAAAGAATGGATTGTGAGTGATATTAAATTGTGTGAACATTACAACTTTTCTCTGTGAATGGAGCCTGCCTGTTAGAAAACGGTAGTGTTCTGTTGCAATCCAGACATTCGTAAGTGTAGAGGTACAAAGTTCTGCAGTTCCTGCTCATAGTGGCAGACTTTTGGGCCTAGTGAGCATCTTTGCAATTCATGGATCATTGTGATTTATGAGGCGTGTGAGCTGGGTGTTCTGCGATCTGTTTGGGAATGAATGAGATTAAAAGCTGTGGGATGCTGCAAATTGATTGTGAAAAGTCAGCATAGCCTTTGGCATTCCAGCTGATGCATCTTGGTCTTTGGCTGATAGGCTGTAACTGTTCTTCCAAACTGGGTATATATGTGCATGAAATAACACATTGAGGCGTAATAGTTTTGACTAAAGTTGTGTGTTATTATTACTGAGCTCCAGTTTTTATTGTTAAATGGACTGTTAGAAGCTGAAAGGCTGTGTAAAATCACTGTGTGAAGATGGACTGTTTGACCTGATTTTGCTGGAACAGTGCTGTTGTTTTTTTCATGAGGCTGTTGTGATTACAGAAGCCTCTTACAGGCTTGTTTGAAATGACCAGGCTTTCTTGTAAAGCAAACCAAAATGTTGCAAATGTTTTACAATGCTGTTTTACAGTGCTGTTCTGTCAAGTATTCATTGCTACGCATTCCACATTCACTCTCATTGCTGCAGTGTCAGAGCATCTTCCAGTAGTGCGTCATCCATTGTGACAGACTTTTTTCAAAGTGAGAAATGTGTGAAGTGGCATTTACTATTCAGAATTTTATACACATGTTCAAACTGTGTGCTTGCAAAAGCAAAGCAGAAGTAATGCTTTCGGGAAATCTGTCCTGACAAGAGTTTTTACACATTTCAGCCCATCACTGTAAGCAAATATTGATCATACTGTAGTGGCTCATGAGCATGGGTCTTGATCCCAAATTTAACTCAGGTGAATTTTGAAAGCAATTTCTGGACTTTACTAGAAAATATTTCACACTAAGAGTGTGTCCTTTCTGTGTGAAAGTCTGTGTAAAGACTTCTATGTAATACCCTTCTTTTGAGAAGGATAGAAGAGAGGAATGCTGCCCCCCATACTTCTAGCCTCTCTTCACAGTTACTGTAAAGAGACAGGAAGAAGAAAGAGAGCGAGGCATTCACCTTTTCTCTAACTTCTTTGGGACAAAGCGTTTCTAGGAGTTGGAGTACTGAGTTTCATCAATACAAAATTATTATTAAAGTCATATTCATTCCTTTTGTTAATAGTGATTTTGGTTATTTAGAAAGTACTTGATGTGATACTATAAATACTTATGGATGTACAGTATAGCTTTATATATTGCATAGGACAAATGGTGTTCTTGATGTGAGCTGAATTCTTGCCTATTGTCAGAGCCATTTCAGAATCTACTGAAAGCAGATTTTATCCACTAGAAAGGGATTTGTTTCACATTATCACCAAGAAATAAGAGCGCAACTCTTTTAAACATAAACCCACAAGATAACTATAGTAGGTTGGCTAATATTTTTCAGCATTGGTATATTCCTTTTAGGTACCAGGCTAGAAGAGTGCTTATTGTGAAAAAATGGTTTTGAGACATTCATCTTGTATTTCAGTTGTTGAAATACATCAATGCTGTATTTTAGACATCGTTGAGTGAAATTACTTTTTAGATTAAAAAAGTGTTTCGTGTCTCCTAAATACACCATGTTCCTTCTTTTTTGTTGTATGCAGCAATGTGATAGTAACTCAGGGCTCATTCTGCAGTCTTTTCTATTCTATGTCTCCTGCAATCCTTAAAACGTGCTTGTGTTCATGGTCTGCAGAACTAGCATTTTGACCCATAAATGAGGATGTTAGAGTTCCTGCTAATTTACCTTCAACTTTTTTCAGTTCTTTGCACTTTCTTAGATATTACAGATTATCTAGATGTGGCGTTTTTATGATATAAATTAGCGCTGCGAACAAAGGGAGATAATAGGTATGAACTTTCAGCATGCTAATGCTTTCCGAGTAGGTAATGGATAGTGCTTCTGTTGCAACAGTGGGGGAGAACAGACCCACTGTTCAGGTATTTTGTATTAGTAACTCCTGGTCTGGAAGGAAAAGGCAGGAATAGAAGTCAATCTCCAGCCTATGGTATGAAACACTGACTTCAGAGAAGAATTAAATAGAAACTGAATCACAATGACTGATTCAGTATTTTATGCAAAGAGTGTTGTGTACGAATTAGATGCCTTCATGCATGGATGCTCTATGCATAGCTTCTTTCAGTAAATATTTGCAGAGTGTTTGGGAAGAAGCATCCCTTCAGCTAGGGGGGAGAGATGATGTTCCTACCTAGTCTGCTTAGGCTTGATTTCTTGATCCTGCTTTTGAGAAATGAGAAACGATGAAGGCTTTAACTATTTTAACTTTCACAGACAACCATACAAGGTGGTCATCTTGAATACTTGAATACTGTCTGCTTCATAAAAAAACACCACTGATTATTCATCAAACTGAAAAAAAAAAAATCTCTGACTATTGCTGCAGACATAGAGATGGTGAATGTTTCATAGCTTTTTATTTTTCATGGCTTTTTATTTTTCCTGTAGATCAGTAATATTAAGAAATAATATGTGCTATATATTGCATAGGATATGCGTTATATTATAGATGCACTATACACATTACATGTTGTATATAATGTATGTAACAAGTACACAAATAGTGATATTTTTATAGATTATTAATTATGAATATTAAAATGATTTTTCTCTCATCTGCTGATTACATTTTTACAGTCCATTTGTTGTTGATGTTTTCCACTGCTTACAGAACTTAGTAGCCAACTTGGTAGCTTTCTTCTAAGCATTATTTGACCAAACAAATGAGTAGAATGAGAGTGATCTTTCTTTCAGAAGATGCCAGCACGTCAATTCAGCTCACCCTGCCTGTTAGACTTCTGTGGTTCTTGTGGTACACCATAGGCAATAGCACTTCTGCAAAATTTGGTTCACATAATAGAAAATATAGGAAGTTGTTAGTCCCCTGAATGAGAGTTTGAGCAGCCTTCTTAGGGCAATTTTCAGTCATGGTTCACTGATGAGTCTTGCATTCTTTCAGGCAAGTTGGGGTCTAAAGTCCTGGGTTGTTTTGTTTTGGTTTTTTTTTTTCTGACAATTTTGTGCAGACTTGTGCTTTTCTTGTATTCTGCTGGGCTATAATAACATGTTCATAGCTCCATTCAAACCCCTTAGAAGCTAGTATTTTTGCTTGTTGTTGACAGTCTGTTGGAGTTGTGCATGATTTTCTAATCTGCATCCAGGTGCTCTCAGATCTGTAATCAAGGTCTTTTAACTTTTGGTGTAAGGTTTGAGTCTTGATATTAAAAAACCTCCTGTCTGATGGGATAATGTATTCTTGCAACCAAGCAACGTGCTTCTTCCAAGAATCTCTACATCTGAATTTTTCAGGTCCACCATTATAGCTTGTCAGTAAAGGTCTACTGACTTAGACCTGATTTATTGATCTCTTGGTTAAATTTTAATAAAGTCCTATGTTTGTATAGGTGGTAGCAAAGGCTGTGTTAAACATATTCCTATCTTCAGGTTATATTTGCAGTTTTAAGTATAAGTTGAGTGTATCACAGGCTATTTAGAATTTGTTAAATCTTTTTAGTATGTATTATTTTCTAAGTATAATAAGATGTCTGAAGAACTGCATTATTTTTTTCTCCTCTCAGGTGTGAGGCAGCTAGCCCACATATTCATCCTGTTGGATGGTGTAAAGAACATAAAAGAACTCTTATCACCCCACCAGGTTTGTATCATGCTACATATCTGAAAGATGTAAGTAATAGCCAGCTGCATAATTACATCTTACAGTGAGCTTATTGTTACCTCTTCTGATTTTTTTTCTCTGTAATTAAGAATTGCTATTACTGATTTTTATTTTTTATTGGACATAATTTATTGTGAGTAGAGTTACAATAGACATTAGCTAATAAGTATATACATATATACTACTTCAATAAAGACATTCATTTATTGTAAGGCTTACCTTGTGAAAGTGCTGATAATGTAAATTCTAGATGCATGAGATTTTCCGCATAAGAAAAATAATCTTCATGTGAACTAAATTGTTTGGATATCAGGAGTGATGAGACACAGGAACGGGCTGCTCTGAGAAGTGTTGGAGTCACCATCTGTGGAGATGTTTGAGAAACATAGATGTGGTACTGAGGGACGTGGTTTAGTGGGCATGGGGGGGATGGGTTGGTGGTTGGACTAGACGATCATAGAGGTCTTTTCCCACCTTAATGATTCTATGAGTCTATGATTCTAAATATACATGTTAATGTGGGGATAAGACAATTGCTGTATGCAATCAAGGGGTCAAACTTGTTAAGGTTCTTTGGCACTCAAGAAGTGAGAGTCAACCATTATGAATGGAAAAGTGCTAATTGCTAGTAAGTACAAGAAAACCTCTATTTTTCAGTATTGATGTGTGTATCTGGATTAGCCCTCCATGTCAACAGAAAAAGAAGATGCTTGTATGGGAAGTAGTACAGACCACAGCTTTATAAAAGACTATGCTATCTAACTTATATCTCTTAATATATCTCTTATGCCTTTCATGCCTGTAAAGCTGTCAGACATAAATGATTTTAGAAACCAACATAAAGACTTGATAGCCTAGTACAAGAACCTGGCAGAGTGATAAAGCACCTGTGCCATTGTGACAGTGCTTAGGCTGGTTGTTTTACTATTGCTTTAATAATTGACATTAAAAAAATAGAATCATAGAATGGCTTGGGTTGAAAGCGACCTCAAAGATTATCTAGTTCCAACTCTCCTGCCATGGGCAGAGTTGCCAACCTTTAGATCAGACTTCCCAGGAGCTCATCAAGTCTGACCTTCAATGCCTCTAGGGATGGGACATCCAAAACTTCTCTGGGCAAACTGTTCCAGTGCCTTAACACCCTCTGAATGAAGAATTTCGTCCTAGCCTCTAACCTAAACCAAATCAGAACATTTGTATGCTAGGGCTTATACAGTTTTGTCCCAAAATGCTTAATATGATTTTAGTAAGGTTTGAGAAGATGTAGGCCTGATAACAAAAATTTGGCATGCTTTGTTTTTTCTTCCTGTATTAGTTTTTAGATAGATCAGTTTTATGACTGAATCACCCCAGGATCACTCAAATACAACTTCTGTTACAGTAAGCAGGAAGGAGTGATTGGGAAATAAAACAGTTTCTCTTAGAAACAGTGGCTTATGCTGGCTACTTTTTAAATAGCTATTTTATTTGTGCTTATTTGTTAGTTTCATAGTGAATTGGAGTAGATTAATTTTATAAGCACAACTTGAGTTTGGAAGATAGGCACCCATGCAAGAAGAAAAGAGAAAATATTGAAAGAGTAGGGGGATGCTTATAGCAGTACTAAGGCAAAAGACCTAAAAGGGAAAAAACAATAAAACTAGTGTTTGAAATGGATTAAAGAAAGCATCATTGACTTTGATGAAATATATGTGGGTCTGAAGTTCACATGTAAGGCCCTCATCAGTATTTTCATGCTGATAGCTGTGAAGAATTTCAAAGAGAATAATAATCCATTTTTCAACTCTAAGAAGCAGTTTTGTCCCATAAAATGCAAGTTGGTCAACTCTATAGTTGTACCAAGTTGTTCAACAGCTTGCTGATAAAGCTGAAATCTTAGAAGGGGACTGTACATTCTGGGTCTGTAGTGGAATCTGAAGCGTAGAACAAAGCAATATTATAAAGCTAAGTTAGGCATTCTGTAAATTATGCATAATTTTTTACACTGCAGTGTTTAATTTTGCTAATATTTCTTTTGTGCCAGACTACCCACATGCTAAGCATTTTTCTTGGGAGAAGTATTTGGAAGAAACCAGCTCATTACCTGCACCTGCAAGGGCTTTTAAAGTGGTGAGAAAATGCTTACAATTTTATCATGCTTTTAAGTGCATATGATTAATTAAATAAGGGAATATATATGTGGTGTTCTTATATTTCCCAGTGCATCCAATTACTTTGTTGCTTTATAGGAGGCTTACTTTTGTGCAAGTTCATAGTTCGCTATTAGAAATCCTGTAATTATTAATAATAATTGCTATTACTTTATTATTTTAATTGTTTCAAATGCAATTAAATACAACAAAATATTAGTAATTCATGTAATTTGCTATGAGAAATTACTGCTTCGCTATTAGAAATAATAAGATAGCCACTGAATCATCATGTCATTACTTGAACTTATGTATTTCTATCCCTACATTTTAAATGGTGCAGGAAATACAGTGAGAATGTAAGAATGATTATAAGAGGCCAGGCTAGTTGCCTGTCTAGTCCATTCTCTTGCAGTAGCCAAGGGACAGTTTGTATTTAATATGTTTAGTAAACCTTTTCATGTGTAAACCTGTGAATAGGGCATTTGGACAGAATACAGTGATAGCTCCCAAGTTTTTGAGAAGACTGTACTTTTATTTTGGTTTTGAACATACTACTTTCTTTCAGTGACATCTATCTTCCCTGTCAGCAGTGGCCTGATAGCATTTTCAGTGAGAATACAGAAGACCTATCTGATGTTAGCTACTACCAGTGAGTCCATAGGCCCTAACCCCTTGCTTCAGAGCTCTCAAATTGGATTGTTTGAGATTTTCAGATTACAGTTACTAATTCTATATTCTGAACGCTTTGCTAAGAAGTGAATTACCAAAAGCTGAAATGTCCTTTCCAACCCGAGTTGTTTGAGTCTTAGAAAATTGGTTTGAATTTTCTTTTTGTATTTGTATTTGTCGGAGAAGAAGGGCAGATTTGAGAAAAGAAGGAAGGAAGTTTTTGATGGATTTTAGACATTATAAGATCCGGTTTGAGTTTTTCTTCTGTTTCACATAGGTTTTTTTCTTTCCTAGAAACCTTCTCATGGCTTCCAGAAAAACATGAAACTTGAAGTGGTTGACAAGAGAAATCCAGTATTTATCAGAGTAGCAACTATTGTAGATACTGATGACTATAGAATAAAAGTAAGTTTCTCTGTCTTATTGTAGCACCTCACTTCAGTTCCCAATTAGTACTTGTAAACCCAAAATCTTACAGTTGTAAAATTAAGCAAGAATTCAGCTGTGTCCAGCTAAGCTTTTACTTGTCCTTTTTCACTTATTAATATGCACATAATTCTTTTGGATGGGGTTGTTCTCTTGTCCTCTTAGTTACATTTGCTGATATAGGTAATTAGTAGAACTGAATATGAAAATTGCTTAGGAAACCGTTGATACAAAACATTTGACCATTTTATTGAAAGAAGTGAAGATTTAGTAGTTAGGACCCTATAAAATATTTGGGCTGGTTTAACTGGATCTGTCCTTGTAAAAGTCCAAGAAAGGAGAGAGATACAAGGGAGAAATGAAAAAAGAACCCTGATCTCTTGTGTTTTATCAGAAACTTCTGCAATTCTGAAGTTTGTGATAATTGACCATGTGTAATATAATAATATATATTGGATTTAGACTGGAATAATTTCAGATTTTTATTTTTTTTTTAACTGCAATTTTCCAGAACTTTTGTGATTGAATTGTTTTTGCTTTGTTTTACAAAAGCAGCTTCCTCTCTGGAGCATTTGACTGTGAAGACTGGCATATGCCAGATATTCAGTTAGGTGGATATGAAAGATATTTGTGTAATGCATTTCACAGAGACTTATTCAGCATACCTGTACTTCAAGCAGTAAATGCAGCTGACATTTCCTTTTGAATCTGAATTAGTCAGGTAGGGAATCAGCAGATTTCATTTTCCAATTAAAGATTAAGTTACATGAAAAAGAAGGAGGGGGAAGGAATCCTCTCAAGTCTAACTTATTAATATGGTGGATTTGTAGCTTCTTGAATGGCAGTTTAATTGACTCCAGAGCATAGGTTGAAAAGGGCTCCATTTGAACGTATGTGTGTACATGAATCCACATGTCTACATGAGAGATCTGAGCCATTTACAACTACAGAGGTTAAGCAATATTCATCTTTTGTTTGAAAAAAAAAATGTTGTACAAATTGGTGTTTTTTTGGGATGTCACATAACTTGATTTCTCTTCAGCTTCAACTTTTTATCCTGTATAACCTGATTTTAATAAATTATTGCTTGTTGTTTTGTTTTTGTCCTTTTTTTGTCTTTTTTTTTTTTAATGGATAAATGCCTTTTTTTTTTTTTTTTGCTTACCACTCTGCTTAAATTGTTTGATTCCTTGCTTAGGTATTAAAGTGAGAAGTAAGCATGTTCTGCTGTAGGGATTTGAGCTGTTTTGTAAAACACAGTAAATGACCAAATGACACCTCTCTTCTTCATTCAAAGTCTGTTTGGGTCGAAAATCTAATATATATGTATTTTCAGTGTAACATCCATAGTTTTATTAAAATGACTTCTCTATTGGAGATAGCATTTCTAGAGATTGCTCAGAGAAACTGTTTTAATAGGGAATCTTGTAATCTAAAATATATTTTTCTCTTTTGTAAATGTAGGTCCATTTTGATGGCTGGGATAGTATTTATGATTATTGGACAGATGTAGATAGTCCTGATATCCATCCTGCAGGCTGGTGTACAAAAACTGGACACCCTCTTCAGCCTCCACTGAGTGAGTGAAATTGCCTTATAATGTGGTGATATTAAAGGCCTGTGTACTAGCTGATGTTTCCTCTGCCAGTGTTGTCCAAAGAAAGGTAGCAACTAGGATATGCAAAATAATGTAAATGTGACATTTAGTGCAAAATCAACATAATTTAAAATGTCACTAATTAATCACTTTTTCGTAGATAGCTTTAATGACCCTTACTGTAACAAAATACATTTATCTGTGTGCATAAGAATTAAGAGTCAAAACCTGAAGTATTAGCAAGGATTTGTTGCATGAGATCCAGGCCCTCTTGAAGCCAATGATAAAACTGCTGTGGTACTTCTACAGGGCCAGGATATTATTCTTAAGATCTTATGCCTATATCTTCTTAAAAGTTATTGTGCTTTTCAGCATAGAGTCCAGACTGCCCTGAGAAGGTGCTCTTTTCAAATGCTGCCAAATCCTCAAAATCAGCTAACTTCTTTTTTGTCTTCAGCTGCACAAAGTAGTCTTAATGCTGCCCATATTAGAGATAAATCAAACAGAAGCATAGTACCAGTAATGAAACTGTCTTTATCAGCTTGCCCTCTCTGAGAATTTGTTTAACTTGTTGAAGAAGTGGGAAATCTGTCATAAATGAGACTAGAGGTTACAGGGAGATGAGATTTTGATGGCAAAGATATCCCTGCCATGCTGCTGTGTTTTTAGGTACATTGAAGTCACTTTATCCAAACTTTGAGCAGATGATTTTTAACTGAGTGCTCTTTTCTAGACTTGCATTGTAAATACTTGACTTGTAACTCTGAGCTTTGCACAAGTGCTGAGTGTTCCACAGCTATAACTGAGATCAGAAAAAGCTGTGCTTGGAAAATAAAAAACGCTGAACTCGGAGAAGTTATATACAAAATAACAGGGATAAGGCACACTCAGAAAGTGTTAATTCATTACCTGAAAATCTCTGTGCTTCAGTTCAGCGTTTCTGAAATGTCAAGAAAAGTGTTTCCTATCAAGACTGTGATAAGAATATATTGATTAGTTTTCTCTGCATTCCAGTGGTGCAATGATGACTGCCTGTTAGGAAGTTAATTGTTCTGCCTTCAAAGCAGAATCTGAATAGAATGCCGTAAGTAGCAAAGCACAAAGTGAATAATGAGAGTAAAATAAGATGCTGCATATCTGCTTCTTAAATTGAGATGTGCATCCTGTGTTCTGAATGAAGGATGAGTCCAGTGGGAAAAAGTATTTAGCTACGTAAATAGAAAATATATCATACAGAAAAAAAAAAATGAATAAGGTTGTGACATTTCTTTTACCAGTGATTGAAAAAATATTTTAACCTAGCTGGGAGTGCAAAATATATAACTCCATTTTGGTGGAGGTGTTTAAAGAAATAAAACTGCAGATGACCTTTACATACAGGACATCATCTCCTCTATTTGTTCATGTAGGAACCACGGTTCATTTTTTCTAGTGTGTGATGGGAGGTAATGATATTTTTATGTAAATTTAGATAGAAGAAAGAAAATGGACCATATGACAGAAGGAAAAGTAACTGTTCTTTAAATTGAAAAATATTAATTCTCTGTAGGAATACGATTAAAGTAGTGTGATTACTGAATAGTACAATAAGACATTCCTGTCTAATGGTATGGTCCACATATCTGTCTTTAATAGCAGGAGCTTTGTGTGAGTGCTGTGCTATGCTACCAATATTAGCCTATAGCAGTCATCATAACAGCTTTATGAGAGTCAGAGTGTTTTATCTTAAGGTATAGTGAAGTCACCATGATGGATTATGATCTTTCTGGTACTAGTTAGGGAATTAGGAACCACGTGTTGGTATTGATTTTAATATCACTTTGCAGTGACGCAGCAGCTTTCTTACACAGACACAGCTTTTTAAAATGGCGTTGTTAGAGTTTCAATTTATTAAGTGAAATGAAAGCATTTGTTCGGAAGCTAGTTTGTGCAAAAACATAGCATCAGTGTACTGGTTTGTTTTGCTTCTAGCATAGACTTCCAATTACATTTTATTTTATTTTTGAGCTTAACTGACTCTTTACTGGAAAATTCAATTCTTTTTTTACTTATTTGAGGGGAAAATGAACTGCTTATTCAAGGGTTTACACAAGTGTAGATATTCCTCAGAACAGAGAAGAAAATATTTTATATTTAGATATTTTTATTTATTTCAGTAAGTTTTTCTGTAGTTTTGGACGTGTGTTCTTTTCCTAGGTTGTGCATGTTACCAGTGGATAGAGGCAAATTAGGAAATGTTCATACCATGCTGATTCTCTTTTTTAAAAAAACAACAAAACCAGAGCTTTTTGTTTTTTTGCTTTAACCTAAGTTTTATCTTTTCTGACTGAATTACTTATGAATTATAGGAAGAACTTTTTTATTGCCATTGAAGTTGTAGAAAGAAATATGGAAGAAATATTGAACTGTATGAGGAAGTATTTTGGTGGTCAAGTTACTGGATCAATTTTCTTGAGTATCTGGTGACAGGCTGGCTTGGTAGGCCTCATCCTAAAGAAGATCCTTGTAGAAGATGAGGTTCCCTGCAATATTCATGTGCAAACAGAAATGGATAAATTGCTTTTGAACATCAGTAGATCATAGAAGAATCATACAATTGCTCAGGTTGGAAAAGACCTTAAAGATCATCAATTCCAACCGCAACCAAACCATACTACCCTAACTCTAACACCCCACTGCTAAATCATGTCCTTGAACACCACATCCAAACAGTTTTTAAACACATCCAGGGATGGTGACTCAACCACCTCCCTGGGGAGCAGCTTGGTTGTCTAAACCTACCCAGTTTTGCATAATTTTCTTGCTTATCTAATTTGTTTCCAATTTGAAGTGTCCTACCTTACTTAGTTATTCCTCATAAGAGCGCTATTTCATACCTGGGTTGAGAGTAGGTCGAAACAGACAAAAAGATTTCAGTTCGGTTGTACTAAGATAAAGTGACCAGAAGAGCAGGCAATATTTAAGAGATCAGTAGGCGGAGAAAGTAGAATAATTATGTCCTGTCTTGTTCTGTAGTTATTTTCATTGTAACTCCTTCTATTTTGTTTGCCTCCTGAACTGTTACTGGTCACTTAGTATGTGTTCTCATGGAAGAACCTGAGGCCAATGGTAGCTTGGCCTGCCTCAGATATGGTGTGGCCAGCAGGACTTGGGAAGTGATTGTCCACTTGCACTCTCACTGGTGAGACCACACTTCAAATACTGTGTTCTGTTTTTGGCCCCTCACTAAAGGAGATACGTTGAGTTGCTGGAATGTTTGCAAAGAGCAATTAAGCAAGTGAAGGGTCTAGAAAACAGCAGTTATGAGGAATGACTGAAGGAATTGGGATTGTTTAGTCTGAAAAAGATGAGCTCAAGAGCAGACCTCATAGCTCTCTACAACTGCCTGAAGGAAGACCGCAGTGAGGAGGTTTTTCGTCTCTTTTCTCAGATGACAAGTGATAATACTTCTAGTATTATTTTCAGCCTTGTTTTCACCTTTTGTTTACTGGAAAATTTAAGCTAAAAACAGATATCAGTACCCATTATTAACAGATTTCTTTCTTTAGGAACAACAGGGTAACTTATTTTGAATGTGCTCTTGCAAAACTACTTGTGTCTACTTACAGTTATTTAATAGGAGACAGGTTAGAAATCTTACAGTTCCTCTAGGATTTGCATTGTTTATATAGATGTAGCCCTTCAGTAGAGATTTACTCAGAGTAGTTTTATTTCTCCATTGGAAGAGATCATTTGAATCTCCATCTTGCTTTTGCAAAATGTATTTTTTAAAATACGTTAAAATTATGTATGTCGTATGTAATTTCTCTGACATACAGGTCCCTTGGAGTTAGTGGAAGCTTTGGAGCATGGAGGATGTCCCACAGCAGGATGTAAAGGAGTTGGGAATGTTAAAAGAGCAAGACATATTGGCCATCATAGGTATGTGCAGTGAAAATGATTTTTTTTCAATTTAGTAATGTCTGCATGCATTTTTTTTAATTGTTATTCACAAGAAAACGTATCCTGTCTGGAGAAAAAAACCTAAATTTTGTAAAATGAAAATGAAATTATTTCAGTTGCCATGGTGAGCATACTGAAATAAACATTAGCAATCTGACTTCATTTCACCAGATGAGATTTGTCAAACATCATTTTTGTCACTATTGATAGATTCTGCTAATCCAGATTTTCCTATGAAGATTCCATGGCTTGCTGTTTGATTTGCAAAAGGTTATAGACAAATTTTTATAAAGCAGTAACTTTTGATCCTTTTGAAACCAGGTCACTAATGTTTTTTATCACTTGAATGTTTTGTTTTGCTCAGCAGGGGTAAAGATTTGCTTGTTGGCTTGAAAAAAATACCAAAATGAAAATTCTGATTCATACATTCCCAAATTACAGCCTGAGTGTTTATACTGAGTGTTTCTAAAGATCATTTTGTTGAGCACTTAAGTGTAATACAAAAATGTGAATCTCTCAGGCTCTCCTGTAAGAGAGCTGACCTAGAGAAAGCAGATGTGTGGGAGAATAGAATGATGCATGAACACGCAGGGACATGGGGATACTCACTAAGCCAAAATTTGACAGTTTTTGAAATGTTTATAGTATGAGATTAATCTTGAATATTTCAGTAAAGAAAATACAATTACTATAATATGTTGAGAATTGAATATCATAAGTAGCATCAAATAGCCTTTTCACAAATCAGTTTCCAAATTTTTTCTTTGAATTCTTTCCATTGAACAATCAAAGGATCCGCTAACATTTGTCACTTTGTGCTTTCTGCTCTAATGTCACTAGAGGATTTCTCTTTGGTAATATGTTTATATTTTTCAAGAATATAATCAAATGTTCATGATCCAAGAGACAGTGCAAGAGATTGACATTTTTGGTGGCAGAATTACATCCTGTTGATGAGAATTAGGCCACGGAGTTTTGGTGGCATATCAACACTGTTTCAGATTATTCTCATTTTTTTCCTTCTGTCTTTTTCTGTTAATGTTATTTTTTCTTCTTTTTTGTTTGTTTGGTTTTTGTTTGTTTGTTTTATGCCTTTCCTTTTGAAAGACTTTGTTGATCTTAGCGTGGTGTCTGCTTAAATAATCTATCAGTACTTAAGAGGTGCTTGCTCTTTTTTTTTCTTGCTGTAAAATCTTCCTTTTTAACTGAAAATCGTTTCATATACTGATAGAGTGAATCTTGTTTAGTATGTCTGATTGTAAGGCAATAATGTCCAATTTAGGATATTTTCCTTAACATATGCTATCTCATTACTTATAGTCAGATGAACATAACCACCATTCTCAGCCCAATGCTGAAACTTTAAAAATAAAAAAATAGGACAAAACTTACTTGAATGTGTCAGAAAAGTTCTTCATTTGTGATCTTCTCTCTAAATACATTTTGGCATTAAAACTTCTAATGTTTTACAGGGAAAGGATGAGTAAGAGAGGTATGTTTAGTTAGTTCATGTATTCTTTGCTTTTATAACTATATTTTCCACGCTATTTAAAGTTATTACACTTACTCATCCTGAATACTGAGAAATGGCAATCTATTGTGTTTTATTTTTATTACAGTTTTAGCAATCCTGTTATTTACATATGAACTGATAATTCTAAGAGGTAAAGATATAAACAAAGAGATTTTGTTGATTGTAAAATAAATTTGCTTTTTCATAGCAAATAAATTAGCATCATAAATATCTTATTAATTTGCTCTCTGTGTTGATGTTTTTTGTGGGGTTTTTTTTCTTGAGTGTTTATGAAGAAAATAATGAATTTCTTGTTTATCTGGGGTTTGCAAATTTGAAGTCACCCCAGAAATTCTACAATTGTACTATTACTTTTCTTCTGAAATAACAAAGACATTTGGAAATTGTTGTAATTATCTACGTCAGGTTTAAGTCCCCTGGGTCTCTTATCTTGGCAACCCTGAAATGTATTTAACCATGCTTATCTCTTTTTTTTTTTCATGATGAGGTATGTCTGTCTACAGCATAAATTTCTGAGTGCAGAAGAGATTATAATTTAAAATGCTAAACAGTTCTGAAATCACGAGAACTTCTTCCTTAGGAAGCAGATAAAAGCCTAGGTGATTAATTATGTAATGGGACTAAAGCATTTTATTTTATTTTTTTTGAAAGCTGATGTTAATAAGGACTGTTTATCTATCACCAGTTGATCTAGTTTTGTTTTGCTGGGCACTTGAAACAGAGACTGGTGTGCATGTCAGTAGCATGATGCAGATTACTTGCATATTTATGATTAGATTATATATTGTATGCTTTCTAATGTTTAATCTATTCATTAAATCTGAGCTGTAATGCAAAACATTTGGTTGCAAGCAGGTCATTTGTGTTTTGTATTAACTCTCCATGAGTAAAGATCAAGTTTGCTTTAGCTAACAGTTCTCAATTGCATGATTTTCAGGCAATTAGAATGAGAAGAAAAAAAATTAGTTTGTAGTTCATAATTAAAATTATGCACATTGCTGAAGAGCACAAGTTAAAATTTGTGGGGTATTATTTTCATACTAGTGACTGTAGTTTTTCTGTTAACTGGAAGTTTGCTCCTACTATCAAATAAAGATGACATGAAGTAAACAATATGCTGAACTGTTTAGGAAGCAATAGGAGCAAAACGTAGGCATGGAGAGCATTTTATTAGAAACATCATCTGTTATGTGAAAGTGAACTGAATGTGTCGTGATGAAGACCACGTTCTCAGAAAACTGTGGTGCAGAAGCACTGGAAGCCTCAGTTCACGAGGATGTTCCATCTATTTGTTCACTATCTGTTGAACTAAATCTCATCTGATACTTTTGTCTCCAGTTTCATTTTCTTTTACGTTAAGGGTGTTATCCCCAGACAAATAGGTTTTAAGCTACTGTTGACTCAATATATATATAATATACTGTTGAAACAACTTCATGCTAAAAAAGGATGCATTGATGATAAACACATTGATGATAAACACATTGCAAATTGTTGAGAGCATTCGTATCGTTTGTTACTAGGATAGTTAAAAATATTTCCATAAAGTCAACTGAAGTAAAAACATCACTAACTAAAAATAATAATAACAAAAAAGCTTATAAAATATTTTTTTTCTTTGATTAAAAAAAAAAAAGAAAAGACAATATTCAGGAATAGTTTTGCTATTGTTTCATAAAAATACTAGTGATACGTAACTTGGATAGTGGTTCTACAGGTGGGAAGTAAGAACACAAGTGTCCTGTGCTGCTTTCTGTACTTCTTGGGCAGTCACCTGGTCACACTATATACGCTTCTTCTCATTAATATCAGTGCATTCTTTGTTTGCTTTTTTTTCGTCATTCATCATTCCTGATTCTACAAGAAGAGAGGTTTTTTTTTAATGTCAGGTTTTTGCTCAACTTATACAGTGCTCACAAAGTAGTAGTTCCCTTTCTGCAGTATACAGCAGATAGCTTAATTGCTGTGATGTGCTAATCCTCCAGAGTTGAAAGGTAGCTGATTACTTTCCTGTGGGGGGGCAGGGAGGATGTTAATTTGGGTATTTATTTACTGAAACGTGGGTTGAGCCTACTGAAGCAGCTCAGATGATAATAGATTATCTTCATGGTTTCAAAGATGTAAAGCAGTAATAGAAGATGTCTGGCATCATCAAACATACAGTAGGGATTTGAAATGAAGCTGCCACTTCTTGCTGTGCTGTCTGTTCTTTTGGAAGACATCAGTATCCATAGGTCAAGGATATCTGATCAAATTGTAAATGGGTTTTGAACTTCTGCTGTTTTCTAAACAGTGTGTTAAGGTATGAAGTGAAAGCTGCAGCAAAAATCCATGTTCAAACTGAGGGAAGAGTTAAGAATCCTAATTTAATTTTTAAATAACCTGATGATCAAGACTTCTGAGCACTTGAGATGTTTCTAGAACTTAGTAATGTATACATCAAATACTTCTTTATGCGTGAATAATAAGATTAATTTTTTAGTCTTTGTAGTATACAAGCTCAACTGTACTGAAGGCTGGAGGCACTGAGATTCAGGACTGATTGATCTAAAGCCACCTAGTTCAAACTGACTGTGCTCATTCGTGCTGTGTTTTGTTGCAACAAAGCTGACAGAGGAAATCATGAGCATTTGTTTTGTTGCTCCAAGTAATAGAAACATCAAAGTACTGTCATGGATTTTTTTTAGCCTGATGTAGCAATTCAAATGATTAATTATGAAGAAAAACTCATCTGAATTTAATGCTGTAAAATTTCATTAATATTATAACTGTTGTTGACTGAGATTGTTCTTCAGCTTCTGTTTTTGAAGAAAATTCTAAGGGAAAAAAGCAAAACAAGCAAGTTCCAATGGAAAACTGAATTTCAAGACTCCTGCTACCTTTTAATTTAAAACATACTACTGATTTTGGCAATCAGAAGATCTACTAGAGATGAAATTGTACTGTCAGACTTCATTGTGATGTAAAGTCTATGTAATAATAATAATATGTAGCTGAAGTTAAATAGCTATTTGTTTGTGTTTAGTGGTTCCTTGAGATACTCCTTAAAAATGCTTAAAACATCCCTGTGGGGGATGTTGGAAGTTGAAAGAACATTACATGCTTTATTTTATCAGAGTGGCAGAACTGAGATTTACCAGTATATTCCCAAGTTTCTGATAACTGTATATTATCACAGTGGTATGGGTTTGTCATAGTGTATAAATCCCATTTGTATTGGCTCCATAAAACCATTTGCCAAATAAAAGCCTGTATTTTTCAGCTTATACTTCATTTGAAAGTCAAAAAAGATGTAATTGTAATACATGCAGTAGTATAGGGAATTAAGAATACTGACCAACTTTCCCTAGTCCTCCTCTTTTCTACCTCATCCTTTAGTTCATTGTTTTTAATTTTTTTAAGGTGTCGGGCAGACACCAGCCCTCAGATAAAAATAAGCAAAAACCTAGAATGTAGGTTTTGTATTTTTTACACTTTAGCATTACAGAGGTTCTTATAATAATAGATAGGCAGGAAAGCATAATTTGATAGTTAGCATAGTAGCCCACTAACCAAAAATAAAGCATGTTTATCTTAAAGATATTAGAAAGCTGGGCTTTTTGTTGTTCACTGTCATGACATATATATATACCTTTCAGAATTTGATATATTGTATCTGAAGTATACCTCAGTGTATATTATGTATTAGGATGTTATACCTGCGAGTATGTTGACTGAAAACCAGTTGGACATTCTGTAGATAAAATCTTAGTTCAGGCTGGTGTGTTTTGCATTGCTGTTGTTCCATTACCTAGCTCTTGGGCAAGCACAGGTTTTATGACATTGAGAGATATCACAAAGATTTTCACATTCGTTCAAGTCATTATCAAAAGCACAGTGTCAAATTATCTCACAAACGAGAATGCAGTGAAACAGGGGATGCTGAATGATAGAAAAATATATGAAAAACACACTTCTAATGCAGTAAAAGTCTTATTTGCAAAGATGGGGCATTGTCTCTCAGCCGTGAGAGAAAGTAGCCACACCTCATACTGTGCCTTGCTATACAGTCTCTTTGTGGACACTATGTAAGAGAAATATGCTCTTTTGCATGGAAGAAATATGCTCTGTTGCATAGCCGTAGAAATGTGATTGTGTTATCTGGAGTAAGAAGGATATAGTCAGAGGCATCTTCTATATTATCTGTAAAATGCCATGAAAGCTTTGTGAGCAGGCTAAACATTCATCAAGCAATTTTCCAGAATGTATGCTGTAATATAAATTAATATACTTTGTATTCCATAAGTTGCTGTAGAAATGAAATATGAAAAGTATTCAGGTTGCCGTTTTTAATCAGTATATTTATTAATATTTTAATGTCTGACTACTTGCATTTTTTCTAATCTTCTCTATGTAAATTGATTCCTTCCGCTTCTAGAAAATTGGTCTCAAATGTCATTTCATTTGAACTAAGTTGAAGTCTGCAAAGTGAATGAAATTAAGGAAGCATTTCTCTTTTTCGCCTTCTAGTGCAGTCAGCTGCCCATACTCTGAGATGAACTTGAACAAAGAAAGCCTCCTACCTGATCGGCTCAGTGGGGAGTTGCCTGCAGCCAATCATGTCCCCAGAAACAGAAGAGTGGAAGCAAGGGAAAGATCCCCCTCTCCTATAATCAAGTAATTCTGATTGGACCAGTGCCTATGACTAGCTGTGGTGCTTTATTTCAGTGTTGTGTAGCATGATTTGTAGTTGTGTAATATCTGGATAGTTTCTGGAAAACCTGTCTGCATTTTCATTTACAGGGAAGGAATGGTTTCATCAGTGCTCACTGAAAAGATCACTACTAATACTGATTCTACTATGTGTGATTTAATAACATTTCAGTTTCACATTCAGTTTAACTATGTAAGCTACTAGGTGGTTAGCTGGAATTTAAGATGGGTTGTTTGCCTGTTTAAGAAAATGATTTATTTGGGTTTCTTCTATTTGCTGGGGTGGCCTTACTGACATGGATGTAAATTAATGTTACTCTTTGAATAACCACTATAAATTCTGCCGTTATTGTTGGAGTGGGGAATTGAATTACTGGGTGTGAGTTTTGCAAGAATGATGCATAACTCCATAGCTGAAGCTTCTTGAATGAGTACTGTGAAAACACAAATGAATGTGATGCCAAGAGACTTTTCAGATGAGGATTTTCCAACAGAAATTGTGAACACAAACTCCTGTGCTCATTTTGCGTTAGGGAAATGCACAGAGAGTTTAAGAAGGAATGGAGAAGAGAGGCTTTCCATTCTTTTCAAGGGCTACATTAAAGTAAACATGAAAATGTGAATGTTTATCCTGAAGATTCCTTCCATTTTCTTCTGTTATGACCAAGTATTTTAAATGGTATTTCAAATGAGATTCTTGGAGTTGGTTTCAGCTACATGCATTAAAAACAACATATTCAGCTGTCACTGAGCACTGTTGGGTTCAATTGTTCTAGAACGTCTAAGATTGTAGAAATCTGAAGTAACCCTAATTACCTTGTGGCAGCTAGCCTGAATGTGGTCCCAGTGAAGCCACTGACAATTTCACCAGTTTTCTGTGTAACAGGGACAGCATTCAGCACTTCTGTTTTAACAGTCCCAGCTGACAGATTGCATAACATTTGTAGGGTCCTAAGTGCGTAGCTGTGTATTGTAAGAGATGGGATAGGAGGAAAATATGATACTTTGAATTTTTCTGATGTTACAAATATTTGAAATGGAGAGTTTATTATCAAAAATAACATTAGGCAGATTCAACAGTAATGCTGTTGAATTGTAAGCAAGTTTTACCTTTAATAAGAAATGCTTTGTAATTTAAAGTTTTGTGATTTTTTTGAAAGTCCTACGTCTACTGTTCTGTTGATGCAAGTGAGAAACTTCTGTGTATTCTTCTAAAAACAAAAACAAAAACCCCACAACCTTATTTTTTTCAATTACACTGATGATTCTTTATCCATAAAGAAAATAAAATGAACAACAACTCAACTTCTTTCTTTTTAAAACATTTTGTTAACTTATTCTAAACAGTGACAGAAAATGCCCGAGCCCTGGTCACATAGGCACAAAATCTGTATCTCATAATCGATCATCTGGGAAAACTGTATCAGAAACAACTAAGCAGGAAGACAGAAAAAGTGCATCTCCTTGCAAGAAGCCCCAGTTATGTGATGTGAAAGAAAGGAAGCCACCTGGGTAACTATCAGTTCCTTTCAAAGTATGGGTTGTTTAGAGACTATTTAAAATGCAGCTTACTGTGAATGCAGTACAGAGGTTTATCTGTGGAACTCTTGGAAGCAGTGGGGAGGAAGAAGAAAGTTCTTCATGTTGGAAGAGCATAATAGTCTTTGCAGAACCAGAAAGGAATGGCGTGTCACAACTTATTTAAGAAATAAGTAATACATATCAGAAAGGATAGGAAAAGTACTACAAGTCAGAGAAATTACTGAAAGTAATCTCTTAACTCTTATGCTTAGAGTCTTTTTTTGACAAAGAATGACATGAGATAGTACATTGGAAAATAATATTTATGATATTATATGTCATTATATATATATAAATATAGAGAGAGAGGCTATCTTTGATACTGAAAATCTAATACACTTCTGTGGGGAAATATGTGAGACAACAACATTCCTTTTCTAAGGAATTATTTAGTTACAGCATCAGCACATTATTTTATTTTTCTTTCCTGAACTAGTATTCACACTTTCCTTTAAGACAAAAGGTCCTGCAATAATACAAGGTTAAACTTTTATTACTATTCTTTGCTGTCAATTTTTCTTTAGAACATTCCTTCGCATTATTTCTACCATCTTTTGGAAAAGATCTATTAGGAGCATCGAACAGTGTTAATATAACTTTATCACAAATAAATAGCTTTAGTTAGTCAAACTCCATTGAATCTGAACAGCAAGAAAAGACAGAATGACAGCAGTGTAGTTTGTGTTAGTTGTCGTTCGGCATTTCAATCATATTTATAGTAAATTCCTTTCTTTTTCTTCTGGAAATAACCATTGACTTTACTGAATATCTATAAATTAATTGAAGAACAATGTATATGGTCTTTTTTTTTTTTTTTTAGAAGGTGTTATATTTATGAAGCCATAAAATAGCAGACACATGTGCTATCAGTTCTCTGATTTTCATTCAGAAAATAACAGCTTTGTGCCAAGTTTGAACTGCCCAGAGGCTTTTTGAGTTGTTTGAAGTGTTTGAATGCACTGATGACCCTTTGCATTTTATCATCTAGTTTTCCACATTCTTTATATCCAGCGTAGCCAGGGAGAACTTTAAGTTGACTAAGGTTACTTTTAAACAGGTATGAGAAATGGTATTCACAGCTTTAGGTATATTTGAACTACTAGAGTTGTTAAATATTGAGCATCTGGTTATTGCAATACCCAGAGGATATTTTCAGATGTTTATTCAAAGTACATATGCATTATTGAAGACAGACATGCCTACTTTCGTGCTGTTCTGCACCTGAGCTCACTGTATGGATTTAATTATGTTTGTCTTCAGTACAATCATATATGTCTTTATGTTCCAGGTAATGTCATACTTTCATAGAAGTATTTGATTGAGGAACCAACCACATACACAACAAACCATGAGATTTGTTTTGCTGTAAACCAAGTCATATTCAGCTAATTTCTAGTTCCTCTTTCTTTCTCTCTTAGCTTTTAACAGATATAAATGTAAGCAATGGAATTAAAGTGGAATTAAATCATGCAGCCTAATGTAGTGTGTGGCAACTCTGTCTATAGCAGAGAGTTGGAATTGCATGATCAAGTCCCATCCAATCCAAGCTATTCTGTCATTCTGTGATAAACAGATCTGTTTCTTCTGTGGTTTTGTGTTTTGAGGTTAACAAATCTTGATGGCTAACAGGATGTTAGCTCTAGTTTGGCTTTTTTTCAGTGGAACACTGGTGAAGATGTTCTTGTTGATTGATTCTCTGTTATTTAGTAAAGCGTGAGTTCATATGGGAGGGTTTCTTGTCGTCTTTAAGGACTTTTAGTCTGGTGGCTGTTTTAACAAAATGTTCCTTATGTACCTAGTATCTCTGAGAGTTCTGCATCTGTGATGATTTAGCAAGAATTGGCCAGTGTCCTCAAGTTACTGAAAGAAAGAAGGAATGCACACATATCGTCAGCATGTTCATATAGTCTTCATTTCTGTAAGAAGCCAGGCTGAAAATATGAGAGTATGAAAAAGAGCTTCTCAACGGGTGGCTTTAAAATGAAAATATCCTTCCACCCCCGCCCTAATGTGCTCAAAAATAAAATATCTCTTATTTTCACTTCTCTTCTCTTGCCCCATTTTTCTCAATAAATGTCCCCTCCTGGCAAACGTTTGGATTGGCAAAGCTGACGGTTCAGCCAGAGTTATCAAGCAAAGAGTGATTCTATAAGAACCACTCAGTAAGAAGTAAAGCAAAAACTAAAAAGTAAAATATTTTCAGTGGGGTCATTAACAGCTGCACAGTGATATGTCAGTACAGTACAGGAGCTGGGACAGAGATGATGGTTGAGTTGAGAAAAATAAATAGATGATGTTTAAGACAACTCATGAAAATGGCCTGGATAACCAGTAAGGCTTTATAGGAGATTCAGCTGTATATATGTCTTTCATTCTATCCATCTTCTGCCATGGACACATCTATTACTTTCATTTGCATAGCAATTTTTCAGTTTCAATTATAAAGAAAAATATATTGATCTGGTTTATGTAATTTTAGTTTATACTACCCTTGAGCCTTAATTGCAAAATTCATGTCAGTAGGCATTAGTGTTGCCATCTGTGTAAGTCAGAAATTAGATCCTCTTTTTTAATTTTATGATGATACAACATCCTTTGTGTGAAAATCTTGCAGTGTTAGTAATGATCTAACATTGTTAGCAAGCAATATCATCATGCTTAGTGATTTTTATAATGTATTAATAAAAATGTACGTCTTATTTTTGTCAGAGGACTGCAGACAAAGGACTCTGTAAAGAACAAAGAGTGTGAAGAAAAAGAGACAGGAAATAACCTGCTCATTTCAAATGAAATTAAAGGTAACTTGTCAATGCTTCTTTCATTTGATATTAAAATCTGCAGAACTAAAGAAGTGTGACATTTCTTGTAATTCTTCATGCAACTGCATTGCAACTTACTTTTTACATTTGCTATCTGTATCCAGTTGGTTATTTTTTTGATAGTAGCGCTTCCAGTGTTGTGTTTACCTTATAATCATCAGAGGGTTTCTTAGGAACTTTATTGCAGTTGCAAAGATGAGTGCAAACTGAATGCTGACATAAAATGTTTCCTTTCACTGACTTTTACAAATAGATAATTAAGTCAGTCTGAATGGTTCATTTATTGCTTCAAAAATGTACTGGGAAGAAGTTGAAGATGCAGAGTTATACATTACAGTTATAACTTAGTGTTTAGGTGACCTATTAAGTTCCATCTCAGTCTGTTGTGCAGTTTACTTGCTAGCAACTTGTGCAGAATGGGTGTTTTTCATGTAAGTTAAAGAGGGAAGGCTAAGATCTTTACTTTGTTAAAAAACTGGAGACTGTCCAGTTGAGGACCACCAAGACATTAGGTGGTGCTGCATGGTGGTAGAGTAAGAGGCATGCTCATAAGTTGCTTCAGAGGAAATTCTGTCTGAATATAAGGAAGAATTTCTCACTCTGAGAAAAACTGAAATAGGCTGCCCAGAAAAAAACTTAGTTTGTCAGGATCCTTAATAGCCTAGTCTAATGGTTTGTTCTCAACTGAACATCATAAGGTTTCTAGAGATCCCTACCAACATGGATGTGGTTTTTGTTATCCTATTTTCTAGTTACATATACTGCTTTATAGGGCATTTTGATTTTGTCAGAAAGGACTGTTTGAGTAAAATTTCACCAACAAGCTTTGCTTACTAGTTAGGATGCTTTTCTGTGAAGGGTCCTGCATTTGATTTGTAAAAGCTGGAACACTTCCTTTAATTACTGTTTAACAAAGTGATTCTTTGTCTCCTTCCTATATACATGTTTAATGCCTGTATCAAGCTATAACCAAGGAGCAGTAGGTGGGGAGTTTTGTTTCAAATAGGTGCTCCTAGCCTGACCTAAAACACTAATGTAATAACCTCCTATGTGGGATAAATTATATATTCCAAACCAATCATACTGTGCTGGCAGAAATCTGTAATAGGAATTTGTGTCCCAGCTGTTGGCCACCAATCTATGAAAATTAGAACAGTAAGAATGCAGATATCTGTGAATAAGAGCAGCTTCCTGGAACAGAGATAGAATGGAGCCATAGCAGAAGTGAGCAATCCAAACAAGAATAGCATAGAGATTTCTGATTGTATGAATGATTGCTACTAAGGAATACTAGGTATTGATTTGTTGTTGATTGTTTCATTCAGAAATGAATTCCAGAGTTCTTCCACAGTTTTATTCAGCAGCTCGGAGGCATTCTGTCCTGAGTTCATAGCAGATGTTGCTTTTGCATTCGCAATGGATCTAAATAAACATAGATGTCTTATGTAGTTTGACATCACTCCTTCCTCCTACGCACATCTGCAACTGCTGCTGCTCTCCAGACAGCAGCAGCAGCAAGCAGCATTTGGCTGAAGCTACTCTCCCACCTGCACATTACCTTTGAGGCGAGTGGGGTGGGGTCGTCCTTCCTTCCATGATGGATAAGTGATATAAAAAGGGAAATGACCTTGCAAAAAAAAACATAGAATCACAGAGCAGTTAAATGCTATTTTCTAAATAAAACGTTCAGTTAAACTGGGAGCAGGGAATTTGCAGACACTTGTGAGTACTTTTCTCAGGAGGACTGAAAAACTTTTTATTGTGGATGAGACATAAATGTGTGGGCTGGAGCTGTTCATCTGATTCACTTGGAATTTTATAGCACTGCAGTGCTGGTTCTGATGAAGTTTTACAGCTCAGCCGTGGCATTGTTAGTTCTAATAGTACTGTATAAATGTTATAAGTGGGTGTTATTTATTGTATCAAAATATTTAAAATTATGTGACCTATGGTATGATAGGCCAACAGTTGTGTTGGCATAGCATTATGTTGTATTGAAAGAACTTTTTCCCTTGTAAAAATAGTTATATTTATATAGAACAAATATAATCACAGTCATGCTGGAACAAGTCTTATGGTACTTTTCTAATTCTGATGTAAGCAAAACTGTACAGCCTCGTTACGAAGGCCCGTATATATTAATAGAAATGAATATGATTTTACTGTGACTGATATCATTAGTGATCAAGGGGTTTAATGCTTATTTACTACTTTCTCTTGTTGAAGTTATTGAAGAATCCAATACCCAGAGGTTTCTGTCTCAACCAGTTGTTGTGTCATCAAAGCTGCAAATCCCTGGCCTACCCTTGCGCTGGGAACAGCAAAGCAAGCTCCTGCCAAGTGTAGCTGGGATCCCAGCCAGTAAAGTTTCTAAGTGGAGTACAGACGAGGTAGGTTTTCCTTGTATCTTTTGTCTCACTGCCAACATCTTCAAATTCTTGGTTGATTCAGAGCTACAGAGCTACCTAATAAATTGCAAATGATGACTTAGTACTTGAAGATTAGAGTCAGCTAGACCAGCAGATCCACAAAATGCCCATTCAGCTGCCATCTAATCCTGAAAGCAGTGAATATTCATTTTATATATGTATAGATATAGGTGTATGCATACATAGAGATACATAGATAAATGTGTATGTATATATAAACAAGTAAGTTTATGTGTATATTCACTGAGTTTAGAGAGGGAAAGAAAAGTGCTACATAAGTATGGCCCAGCAGGTGCTCGAGGTCTACACTGATGACATCTAGCAGCATCACAAGCATTTTGTGGAAGAGTATACTGGTCAGCTTGGACTGAGGACTATTCCCTATACATAGTTTGGATATGACACACTGTTCTAGAAAGTTAGAGTGTAGTGTGAAGAGTGATAGTATTTTGATGGTCAGAGCCCTGCCACTCTTCAGGTGTGTAGTCATGCTTGGGCAGAGAAGGTCTAGTCCCTGCTTTATTTTCAGAGATGGCTGTAAGTGAAGCAACTTTCTGCAGATGAAACAGTTGGATCTCCTCTAACCAGAGAAAAAAGAAAATTGAAATTTGATCAAGGATTTGCTAATCCTTCTGCTGTAAAGAGAGAAGAAGAGAGAAGGCATTAGCTAATTTTGTTTGTGGAAAGAGAACCAGTAAGAGAAGACTCATAATTCTGGATCTTCCTGGTAGAATAACTGAGTGATTTTGAGGGAGTATCTATATTCCAGTCTTAGATGTCCTGTGCACAACAGTGATGTGTGCTCCAGCTTGCTAATCCCTCTCCTTACATGTACAGTTCTGTGATTCCATGCATTGACAGAATGTGGAAGACTTAAACTGAGGATGCAAAAACAGCTAAAAACCATTGCTTTAATGCTTGTCAGCATTTAAGATTATTTTGAGAAAACACTAGCCTTACTAAATCTGTCATTTTATTCTTTGTGGCAGGTCTCTGAATTCATACGGAGTTTACCAGGATGTGAAGAGCATGGCAAGGTATTTAAAGATGAGGTGGGTACATTTTATTTGAAAAAATTACAGAATAAAACACTTAATGGAAAGATTAATTTTATTTTATCAGTAAAGACACATAAGAAGTGTTTGGATGAATTTTATGTTTGAAATCAGAAGCAAGTGTATGGACTGTCGGGCTGTTTTGCAGCTAGTAGGGTGAGAAGAAAGAAGATAAAGCTAGCTAGGTCGAACAGGTCTTATCTGATCACACTTAATCTTGAAGCTCTTCCTCCTGACATAGCCAGTTTATGAATGTGATTTGAATGCTTCTAACTAGGTTAAAAGGAGTGTGTACTTACTTTGTGAGCATGCCAGGTGTGAATTTCTGGAATCTGAGATAGTTATACCATAGTTGTCATTAGCAAGTGCGAGGGCTTTTCAGTACAGTAGGCCTTTATAATCTGTATTGGCTTTTGTGTTTCCTCTCAGAGGTTTGTTACTCCTAGTACTTCTTCATTCCAAACAGGCTAGTTGATCACAGTGCGAATAGTTCAGGTGCTTATGTCCACCAGGCCATATGAATGGGCAAAGTGTGATACTGTAATATCCCATGTCAGCCACCTTGCTAGTGGAGAATAACTGTGGTACTTAAACTTGAGAAAGTAAATGCACCTCCTGAGCATGGCTCTGCTAATCCTCTCCTGTGACAGAAGTCTACAGGCTGTGATATAGATTTTAATTATAGTTTCATATCTAAGGACTGACAAGTTACATCTCTGGGCATTTTGCTCTTGTTTAGGTTTTAGGCATTTTACAATTGTATCTATGCAGATATCTATGCAAATCTATCTATGCAGCTATGCAGGCCTAATTCATCTTGTGTCACTTAGGAGGACCTTCCAAGAAGTTTAAAAATCAGTAACATCTGGTACACTGCTGATTGAATCAACAGATGGGAAGTGCCACAGAGATGGATAAATCCTAAATACTTTTGTTTTCAGAGGTTTAAGAAAATGATTGCCCCCTCTAAGGGTTAAACTCCATTTGTCTCTCCAAGACCATTATCTGCCAGTGATGCCAACCAGAGTGGACTGGCTGGTATCTGTACAGTTCACAGAGAAGTCATACCCCATCTACTAATTCTAACTGACACACAGGCATGAAAGATGCTCATTCTGGAATGCCCTATTAAACTTACAACTGAAGGTCTTTCAGTAGGTGGAAGGTGTTGGTTCAGACTTCTGCTGTGGAGATGAACCCCTATCCTTATGTTATGAAGTTGCAAAAAGCTGAGCACCCCCACACTGCAATGCTCCTAGTTTTAAACCCATCCAGTTTGGCTTTGTAAACAAAATGAGTTGACAGTAACCATGATAACCATGTGGTGCTGTTCTCACTGCCGTGCCTTTCAGCTTTCAGTGTTGCAGTGTTCTGTCTTAACAGCCTGTCTGATTCAGAAAGCTCGTGTTCTGGTCTCACAGCAAATGAATTGCACTAGTTCTATCTCAAGTCAGTATCTCTAAATCTAAGCAGTGCTCCCAGTTTAAACACAATTGACTTTTAGGCTTAGCTGTCCTGCTTACACTGAAAAGTTGCTGAAGATACCAAAGATACTGAAGTTTACCAATAAATATTTGCCCCAGTTTGCTCTGGAATGTGAGGGCTTTGGCTCTTCATGTTCTGATTTAGAATCCTGGTTACAGAATGATTTGCTTACAGGAGAATATTCACTTGTAATGTTTATTTTAAAAAAATAGAAACAACACGAGAAAAATAAAGTTTTTTCAAAAGTTGCATTTGTATCAGAGGCAGTTTTACCTAGTCTAACCCATGTTTACATTTGGGACATTCATTTTAGTTTCCTATTGAATGGACAGAGAGAAGTAGCCTGAAGAGGGATTCCAGTTCTTTAGCTGGGTGTGAAATCTGGAGGCTTGCTTATGAAGGCTTGCGTACAAACAAGGAAAAGCTAAAATGGCAAAATTAGTTACTGTGTTGCATTACTGCTGAATTCTACTTCATTGACCTATTTTACATTTTAGTAGCTTTTATTTTAATACTGTCAGTATGAAAATAAACACTGGCTAGCTAAAAGTTAGCCAGATGGTTGTTTTCAAACAGAAAGAGGATCATCAGCCTGTTCTTTTGGACCAGCTAATCTGTCTAAAAAAAATTATAGCAAGGCTATCCTGAAGTTTGAAAGCAATTGTATTCAACCATTCTTTTAAATTGTTGGGTAATTTTCTCTGTATGTTTTCTGAAACATCTATACTGCTTCACTGTCAGACCTGTTAATAGCTTTGTGTGTTTTTCTTTTAAAGCAAATTGATGGAGAAGCATTTCTGCTAATGACCCAATCAGACATAGTCAAAATAATGAGCATTAAACTGGGACCAGCCCTAAAAATCTTTAATTCCATTCTGATGTTCAAAGCTGCAGAGAAAAACTCACACAATGAACTTTGAAGATAATGGAAAACGTGTACAAGCCAGCTTCCTCCACTGGAGCTCATGTTTTATTCAAAGCACAAAGACTCACCAGAATTATTGAGTAAGGACTCTCAGAAAGGAAGAAAAGTGTGTTCTGCACTGGTGAACTATTCATATTCTCCTAGAGCCAGTATACATCTGAATCCTTCTGGGAAGTGCTCACGCTTTTAAGAAGGTACTTTTTAACAACCAAGTCAGCTAGTCTGATTTACCAAACTAATGGCGCTAATTCTCCATGGAGGGTTAGGATCTCTAATGCTCTCTGGTCATCAAGAAAAAACCTTCATTGATTATTTATGCTGTATTATATAAGGGAACGTTAATATTTTCTAAGAATTCCTGAATTCTGCTTCATGTACCCATTTTACTTTTTGGTAGCTTTTATTTCTTACCATCAAAATAAAAAAAAATTAGCCAAAAATTGGGCTATGGATAGCCAAATGAGACTGTTATGGCTAATGCAAATTTGTGCCATAGTTTGAAAATGAAACAGTTAATGTTACATATGTGACACTTTATGCTACAGCATATAACTTTACAGATTATAAAACTGTCTGTTTGCTTGTAACAAAACAAACCTTGTTGGGGTTGAAATTATAATGCTTTTTTGATAACTGAATGTTTTTACTTTTGCACGATTACAAAAATGTTATGTGAGTTTTTCCACCAGCATCTTTAATGTATTTTACCAAAAGATCAGTATCGAGAAGGCTGCAACTGAAAAATAAAGTTTGACTTCATAGAAGACATTCATTTATGCTGCACAATAGAACCCCAGCCTTTTACATGGGAGCCTGCTTACAGTCCTTCCACACATGAAGGAAAGTACATGTATTTTGAGGTAAGACTATTAGCAAAAAAAGAGAATATATTTATTCACGTCTGCACATGCTAGTCTCCAGTATACTTACCAAAACAGTGGAGAAAAACAGTGTGCTAAAGCTAGGACTGCTACTCTGGCTTCACATGCAATATAAGCTTGTATTCTTTGTGGTGGAAGAATTATTTAACCGACCACTTCTTAGTTGAAAAATCTGATTTATAAATGAAGCATAGCCGGAAAGCCAAAGCATGGAGGGAAAAGCTACTTAAACACATATCCTGCATAGGCGTGAACTAGGTAAAAGGCATGGGTTTCACCAGGTCATTAGCAAGGCTGCAGATTCCACTAGCAGGTACTTGGAGGCTTATTTATGTCAGGGAAATTTGTTGCACTTGGTATATATACGTAAGATGTAAACCGGATGCACTTTACACTGGAGAAAGCCTAGCTGCTAGTATACCAGAATTTTGCTTTTACAAGAAGAGAGAGAAGAGTTGGATCAAGCTTTTGGCAGCCCTCTTCTTAGTACTGAGGTGGGCAGTTGCTTAGTCTGTAGTTAAGAACAGTGTTTCCGTTGCACAGAACTTTGAGAATTTTAAATCTTCCCACAGATTTTGCTAGGCTGTTCTTTGGCTGAAGTTCCTTAGGATTTCAAGAACCCTTTGTGCCCCTTCCAGGTCACACTGGTGACTGGTACCTGCCATAATATGAGGTAAAACAGGGTCAGTATGAAGTAAGTTGCATTGCTCTATTGATTTCCTTCCATAGCATTGCATAAATAATATTTTTACATTTTGTTCAATATTTGTACAGTCAAATTGCACTCTTATTGTACTACAATACAAATAAAACCTGAATTGGACCTGTCTGTTACATTCGTGTATGCCCAGGATTCTCAAATTAACCTGGATGTTTCAGAGTGTGGAGCAGTTCTTCACTGTATTTTATTGTGTTCATGCATCTGAAAGAGCAACTCAGCTACTGCCAGCTCGTCTCACCCAAAACATTTCCTAGATCCATAAACTTGAATTTTGTCATTGATCACAGCTGACGTGGAACAGAAAATGCTACGTTCTTTAGTTTTCTTTCCTTCCATGTAGTTCACTTCCTTGAACTCTCACTTTCGGTGTGTATTTTTCTCTCATGTGCCAGCTCTGGAGCCTTCAGGGAGAACCAGTGTTTTGCTGCTCTGCAGTAATCACTTATGAACATTAGCAACTACCTGAATTTTTATATACCTACTTATAGCATACTGTGGTTTAATGAAATGGTTCAGTTAATTCTCTTTACAAGATGTAGAAAACTTCATTTGAATGATGCTCTCTCTATTTAGCAAGAGCATAATCACTACATTCTTCACTACATTCTTCACTTTTGTATGACATGTGATGAGGTAACAGGGCAAACTCTGTTACAAAGGCTACACCCAACAAAAGCAGTAGGACATGAAAATTACTCCAACACAGTGGATCTTTGAAATGGTAATCACAGTGGTTTTCAACATTGTGTTGGAGGTGACCCAGCAGTTACATAGCTAAGGATATCCCACAGTTTCCATGAGAGGCAAGTGAAAATCCTGAGACTTCTTTCTGCAAGAGTCTGCCCTCATTCTGCACTGTTCCACTGTAGTCTCTGAATTGGACTCACCCTTGTGCAATCAGCACTTAAGAAAACGCCTGCAGCTTCCCAAGCCACGTGTTTGAGTGTGCAGAATACTGGTGAATGCAGATACTGCTTGGTCTACATCAACACTTCTAACAGTTGTGAGAAATGAAACTCTTTAGCAGAATGCAGTGCAGATGGGTTTTTATCTTTTTTTTTTTCTTTCTTTTTCTTTTTTTTTTTTTTTTTTTTTGAAAAAAGCTGTTTACCATCCTGTATATACAACTAACACAGTGGTCAAGCTTGCTGGCAGCTGCTATTGTCCATCACTGTGAGCTTATCCAGTCATTCACTATATCAGGATTTTCAGATGTGCAAGGCACATAAGGAGTTAACAGGACTATGGGAGGGAGAAAAGGAGACCGTGGAAGAAGAGAAAAGGGCTCCATTTTGTGTGGGCAGACAGGACATGTACCATGTGGAGAAGGCTGATCTGTTATGGGGAAAAAGCCTAGATAGAAAATGAGGCATTTGTTTCCCAGCACAAAAGCTGTTGTTACACATGCACATGACAGCATCCCAGAAAGTCATTCTTGCTACTTTGAGAACTGATCTCAGAATCCTTATTTAGCAAACTTTGGATTTATGTTAAAAGAAAAAAAGAAAACATTTAATGCATCAAAAAAAGCATGAAAACTCATCGTTCTCCAAATTGTAAATTAAGCCCAGTATTATAAAATAAATACATTCAAGCACTCTCAATGATCACATGAAGATAATATAGTGAGAGAGGTAACAAATCTTTAATTTGTGTAAATTCAGAACATTAAGTGCTCACATTAACTTCTGAGTATATATTTTAATTCTGATGGTAAAAATATTGTCTTCATTTGTAAAATGCTCTGTGTGGAAAACTGATACATAACACATGCAGTAAACTAGAAAATCTTATTTGCTCTAATGCTTCCAGACTGCTCTAGACAATTTTAGATTTTTTAAAAAGTAGCCAGTACAATTTTTAAAAGCAGACATTGTTGAACATAACTGTTAGAAATATACAGATGCTTTCACTAGAACGAGTGCACTGATTTATCTTCACAACAAGGAGATTTGACAAAATTCCAGATGTTCCTGAGATGAGTACACTAGCAAACACTGGGATGTTTAGGCATCTCTAGTTCTCTCTTTACCTGACCTGGGAGGAATGCTTGAGGGATGTTCATCTCAAAGATCAGGGACACCAGGAATTTCAGCGTCCTTTGGATTCTGCTTGGGCACTGGATATTGAACACATGAAATGCAGCCACCAGTGCTGCCAGAGCTGTGGTGCAGTCGCTGAGCTGGGTTACCTCTTGTTTTTCTATGTACAGAGCAAACCTGCATGAATTCACATTGAAGGGATTTTTAACTTCCAACACTGGTGTCAATACTTTCACCTAAATTAAGAAAAAGAATATTTCAAATGATATCACAGCATCATTTGATGAACTGTAAGTTGTAGCATCAAAAAATTCAGTAAGCCTAGTAACACTGCTTTGAATTTAATCAGCATTTCTGCGAACATTTGCCTTTCATCCAAAAGGAAGGAAAATGTCATCCTTCTCCAGGAACTAATCTGGGCCACCAAGAGGCTGAGGGATATGCCCAGGCAGCTCATAGGAGCAAGACCACAGCTCTGGTGCTGTCTCCTACCTCCTCGTTCAGTGCAGCAAACAGACTGGAATCATCTCCAAAGACATCTGGCAGAAGTAAACATGCAGCAGTCATCTTCATATCTGTGAAAGACAAGGATTTTCTGAATTACAAATGAAAATATTCTGGCACTGTGGCATCATCCTGGAAAAACGGATTGTGGCTTATGAAATAACTAACAGCTCAGCAGTGGAACTGCTGGTCAGTTCATTTTGAAGAATAGCTTGTGCCACAATAAAAGTTTAGGTACCTCGTCTGGCAATTCAAACTCATAAAGCTATCACAAACTCAAGGTTCCAATTGGGAAATGCATATCTTCCTTATCCTTTAGTGGTCCTGGTACCAAGCTTGCTAGAGTTCAAGAAGCATCTGGACAATGCTGTTGATCATGTGGTCTGATTTTTGGGTGGTCCTGTGTGGAGCCAGAAGTTGGACTGCTTATGTGACCCTTCCAACTCAGGTTATTCTATAATGGATTTGAATTATGCCTTTTTGGACAGCAAGTGACACTCTCAACGAGCACTTCTCAAAGATTTTAGTTCAGGTGTAAGGATCTACAGCAAGAAAAATCTACAAGAGGAGTAAATTTAACGAGTAACTCCTTCAAATGTTTTATCCATACAGATCTAACCTCACCTCAGTTTTCTAATTGAAAGAAGGTGAGTGGCAGCAGTTTCTTACTCCCTTCTCACAGCCAGCAAGCCAAACACTAAATAGACCTCTGTGTGTGACTCAGATCCCTGCTTTTCAGAGACTTTATGCTACACAAGTTTGTGCTTTCACTCCTGAAGTGTATTTACTCCTGAAGAGACAGATATTTGAAAGGCAACAATAAGTACTTCTTACATTGTTTCACTTCCAGCTTAAAAACAGTCCTTCTCTTTCTAAGGGAAAGTGTTTTTTTACAAGTGTTCTTCTAAATTCTTAAAGAAAAGATGTTAACCTCCTTAAACCCTTTTTTTATTGCTGCGCATGTTGCATGGCATGGTACATCTCTTTGGCTAGTTTGGGCCATCTGCCTGGTTGTCCCCCACCCCCAGTCTCTTCTGCATATCCCCCAGTTCTACTCACTGGGAAGAAGAACGAGGAACCAGCTACCTTTAGGCTGTGCAAACACTGCTCAGCAACAGCTAAAAAATTGTGTTTTCAGCATTGTTTTGGTCACCAATATAAAACACAGCACCATACCGACTGCTCTGAAGAAGGTTAATTCCATCCCAGCCAGACCTAGTACAGATATTTAGAGCATAGATTTGTACTGACATTTTAGAATGTTTTCCTCTGTGTTCTGTTTCAGATGTTCCTGCAGCATAATGTTAATCGGATTATTCTTCACCAGACATAAAGATAATATGCTTTCTGAATAAATCTCCAAAATCTTAACTGTTTTCTGATAAACATCCATGTGTGTGAGAATCTGGAACTCCCTAAAAAGCTAAAATAAAATAAAATAAAATAGTTATTGCAATACTTAAAGCCCAAACTGAAAACAAGAAATGAGGTTCATGCTTTGAAGACAGGGTAAGATAAGTAAAAACAGACTGTAAGTTGGATGATATCGTGGCTTCATTTCTTTTCAAAACAGGGAAGAAGTACATGAAGTATCATCGAAGGAGTTCTAACAACCCACTGCTGTTGCATGTGGCATGGTTAACACAGAACTGATGCAAAAAAATGTTAAAGAAAACAATGTTGATCAATACTTCTGCAGAAACATCCATGAACACCCACAGTTGTGTCACATCTATAATATAGATCAATGCCATTATTAAGTATAGTGTTACCTGATAGGGGCATCTTAAGAAAGGAAATAGTCTAAGAATGTCTTTTAAAGGTGTCTTGTCACAGATCATCTTCCTTCGTATTTGTATTGTTGCATTCATTTTATTATTCACTTCTTTCCAGTTTCTCAGAGTTTTCATATATTCTTGCTTCAGCCAGTTAATGTGTACATACATTGCGCCACCTTCAAGATAAGCAGGTTCTTCCTAGCAACAAATCAAGGACAGAATTGTAAGAAATCACCTTTCATCTGATGTGGGATATCTTGTGAGTTCACACTGGAGTCTACACCAGTGTGTAGTTAAGCTTAGCAGAAGGGATCTAGAGGGCAGCTTTAGTACTGGCTCTGTGAATTGACTGTACTGTCACTCTGTCGTATACATAGAATCTGTCTTCATGTGGTTCCAGAGCTACCAGCTAGGTCTCCCAGGCTCAAATTATGCATTAGAGGATATGCATGAAATTCATGTGCCTAGTTTGCCTAATTGTGGGTTGTTTGTTTGTTTGTTTAATTAACAGGCAGTTCGAATAATAATAGAATGTCCTGGGTTGAAAAGGACCATAATGATCATCCAGTATCTCACTGTTACTCTTTAGCAATATTAGCTCTGTATTGTCAAGAAAAATAGGATTTTCTTCTTACTCATTCAGGTATTAAAAGCAGGACAACAAACTTCCATATTCATACAATTAAAGTATTTACCAGGAAGGAAACCAGAAGAATTAAGAGAAATAAATCTCTTAATGGAAAGCATTATTTGGGTTGCTTGACAGACAATGTTATTCCATACTTGAAGATTTAATTAATGATTTTCCTCAAAATTATTATTATTGTCTCTGCTGTAACTCCACAAACAGTAATTACAAAGAAGAGGGGTAGCTATCCAAAGCAGTACATCTGTGGCTGTAGCCTGTGGCTTAGTTTCTACCATAGGAAGCAATGAATTTGCCCATTGAAGCAAGCTGAGGAAACATACAGATGCTTTGAAAGTGTCATTACCACTCTCAAGCTACACTTAAACCAGCTTTTCCCAAATGTATCATTACTAATGCAGCTGTCATCTTTGCCAGTAGTGGCCTGTGGGCCAGAGCCAATGCAAGTTGAGACACTTTGTTTTATTTCCCAGAATATTTAAGACATAGAGCTGAAAAAATTACAACATTCAAGACTGCTTTGCAGAGCTCTCTGTATGCAATTTAATTTTCCATTTTAACGTCCTTTTTTAAACTGTGTATGTGAAATTCCAGGATTTTCATGTACAAGATATAGCAGTAAAACATTGTCTCCCTCCTACTATATGCCCATGAATTTCAATAACCAATGTTATCAAAGAAAACAGCCTGACTGCAGGACAGTTAATTACCCACAGGTACTCCCAGCCCTTGCTAGGCCAGTGTTACATCACCCCAGTCTGCTCTCATAAAAGACTTCACTGAACAGTAGTATCTGTGTGTGACTGATTAGACCAGGCATTCCTGTCCTCTTCCTCAGAGCCCGAGAAGAGAGGTCACGGATTAGAAGAGGAGCTCATGGACTTCAAGCAATCATGTTGTTATATTTCATTGCCTCCAGTAAATTTTTTCTTCCACCACTTCTTCCAGTCACTTTTCCTGCCCAGGCAAAATTGTTCCTTCTGGAACACCCTGCATTATGTTTGGCAGTTTAACTATTGTGATGCCAAAAGCTATGCCTTCATCTTCTAATGATCTTACAGGATTCAGTAAGATAAAAGTCAGACTGTTCACCTCTAGTTGTAGAGCTACACCATATTCTGTCCTCAGTTATCTATTTTCCAGACAAGATCGTGCTAAGCTATTTAATTATTCCATGTATAAAAGTTGTTCCGTACTTTCAAAAACCCCTGTTATTATCTTTGCGTTTTGTCTGATTTCACTAAAGTCTTTACAAGAGAGGCACAGTACAGCTTAAAACACTCGTTGAGATACTGTGATACCACAGATGCGTACAGCAGAATAATGCATTCCCTTTTGTTTCTTTCTTAAATAACTCTGAGCTTTCAATGTATTTCTTCAAACAGCTGCTTAGCATTGTGTCAAATGTTTTCCAGCATGATGTAAAAATATCATTTGTGAATGATAATAATAAGCTTAGAGGCCGTGATTGTCTACGTTATTAGAACTGGGTTTTCTCCTTGTACCTTATTGTGCATCTCTTGGCATTGAATTTTACAAGCTGTTTTGCTGCCCTGTTAACTCAGTAACATGAAGTCTTCTGCCATTCTTCAAAAACAACCTTTGTCTTTATACCTTTAGTAGCATCAGCAAATGTGGTCAGCCAGCTATTCTCCTTTTTCCACACTTAGAAACGTATTTAACTGCATAAACTAAGCATTAGCGATCTTTTCCACAGTACAACCAAACTATTTCTACTCAGCTTCTGTTTATCCCCTCAGATTATATCTTTTAAGAGCATTCGAAAGGCATGTGGTGAAATCTCTTCTGAAGTAAACTATATCAGCTGAATTTCTGATGCCCTTGGGCTTGCTGAATGCTTCAGAGAACTAATACCTTTATGAAGCATGACTTCTGTTTACAGAAACTTCGCCGATTCTTTCGCAAGTTATTCATCTTTCAGCTCTGCATTACAATCTTGTTAATTTGGCAAGTAAAAATAGTAAGTTTATTGGTCAACACATTCCCAAAATTTTGGAAACTGGCATCAGATTAGCTGCCTCCAAGTTGGTATATCACAATTAGAAGTTTAGCTGATTTATCCTTAAACACATCTAAAATGTTTGCTCCTTGGAATTTGCTACTGCTCATTTGAATGACTTATTGTGTAACTTCTTTACTGACCCCTTAAGACACACCCTGACATTGCCTATGAGGAGTGGTCCTAGCAGTGTGATCTCCTGAGCTCCACTTCTGAGGATTCTTACAAGGCTTTTTTTGTTGTTTTTGTTGTTGTTGTTGTTTTGTTTTGTTTGTTTGTTTTGTTTTGTTTTGTTTTTACTGCTTTATATTGTGAACACTGCTGTGCCTGCAGACTGCAGAATGACAGTCACAGTTTTTACTCTGGAAACTCTGGCTCCAACTGTTGCTACAGATCTCTCCTGGGGGCCTGCTTCCAGACCCCACTGCCCAAGGAGCAGAAGCCTGCTCAGCTTCTGGGCCTCAGGCACTGGACTGCCTCCCCGCAGCAGCTGCAGGGAGAGGAGAACGGAATAAATCCTGGTGCTTAGCACAAGTCCTGCTGCTCCTAGGACTCTTGTGCTCAGCAGCAAACACTATGGTGAGCCAGTTGAGACCTTGGTTCCAGTATATCTCCATCTGCCTTGGCAAGGCAAGCAGCTAGAGCTGAGGGACGTTGTGTGTAATCAGCCAAGTCCTGAAGAATAGTTAGGTTAATGACATTATTAATTAGCTAGACAACTCCATATGACCTTTTTGTAAGCAGCAATGGAAAGGTACCTGTAAAAATAGAGCAGCAGTGTAAGAAAGAAACGCTGTCATTACCCACTAGGAAAAATAAAGTGATGGCAAGCCAAACTTTGTTGTGTAAATCATCCATTACATTACAGGGAACATGATCAGAAGTGATTTTCTTGCAGTGTCCTGCCTGCCTAGAGCAATCATCACCTGTAATCTTTTCATCTTTTTAAGCTGCACTCCTAGGCTGAAGAAAGCCCTACATTATACCTTGTAAGTATACCTTGTTTAAACTAGTAATCTGTATAATGGATAAAAATACCCAGCTGTGAAGTACATCTAACCAATCAGTCAAATAACAGAACTTCAGAAACCTACGAACTCTGCACTAGTACCATTTGGATAGAAAAGGACAGTTTTCTACTGGCTTTAGTAGCCTTCAGTATTTCAGAGATTTCTTGGTTGTTTAAGCGCAGTAGAAGCCAAAGTTTGTATAAAGGATGCTTAATTATAAGTCTGAAGTAGAACATGCGGTGAGTGCAGAATGTTTCTTGTAATGAAAATGTTTTGGAGTTGGCATTAGACACCAAGGTTGCTATGATTTTGGGCCCTACTTCTACATACAGTGACAAGTCTATGCCTTCTGTATCTAAGCAATTTGTTTCATTTTGTCTCTGTACAATTTCATTCCAAGTGTGGAATTATACACACAATATAAACACTATACTGTAATATACAAAGCTACAGAAATACAGATTAGGTGGTAATTGAGAGGCTAAAATTACTGCATCATTGCATGTTTCTATTTCCAACTGATTAAGTGCAAGCATGCATTTTTATCAGTCAGGAACAGCATAGAGCAGTGAACCTCACTGGTACATTAAGGCTAATGGCAGTGGCTGCCCTTAGCAGAACCAGCATGGAATTAGAGAACTGCAAACTCAAATATTTATGGGTGAGTAGTTGTTTACACAGGCAGCCTAGCTGAAAATATGAAGGGAGAAAGTGTCCTAATGTATATCGTTCATTATTTCTAAGCATGGTTCCATTCAAATACAATCCGAAGGCTGTTAATTGAGCAGGAAAGTATGACATCACTTGAATTTTACACAAATAATTTTGAACCTCAGGATTTATTGGATTCTAACAGCAAGATAAATTTTGTCTTTTATGTACATATAAACTTACAGACTATCATGCTAGCAGCAAGATGTGTGCAGTACATAACTTGCCTTATAACTGAACTTTCATAATTTTCAAACCATGTTCCTATTTTCTAATTTGCTTTTTTTTTTTTTTCAGGAAAAGTGTAATAACAACATTAACTCAGTCACACCTAAATGTAGGACTCGGAATATTTTCATTTTTTTCTTTTAGTTTTTAATTTGTGAACAGATTGATTTTTATGGTAAGTAGAAAGGTAACGGAGAGGTGGATTTATTTGGGGAAAAAAGAAGTTACCTCAGTGGGACAACATTTTGCAACCTATTTTGCACTAATTTCAAATGAGATGTAAAGTCTTTTAAAGTTAGCTTCGACATTTGGGGTGTGAATGGGAACAAACTGGGTTTGGAGAGTTGGCTACTGAACTGGGATTCCATCTCATCACATTCTAACTTCGGGAGAATCTTCTCTACCTTATCCATCAAAGCAAGAAAGCTCATCCAGTACAGCAATATCCCAGTAAAATTGTGATGGTAACTTTAACCTTTGGTTATTTCAATGCTCTGTGGAAAAGCAATCCTATATAGACTGAGGACAGATCTACATTAAAGATCTCTTTCAATGTCTAATTAAATAAGTAATCCTTCCTACG